CATGATGTAACTCACTCACCACGATCTAGCAGGGGTACTTCCCCAACATCTCACACAGGTTTGTGGGACGTCTCGGCTATCATGCTGCGAGTCATTCCTGCTCCCACACTTTGCCTAATTATCGTCGCTCGGGCTTATCGGGAGGATACTGACAGGATGAAACATTTCCTCCTGAAGACAACATTAGTCTAAAAGTGAAATGTCCTAAATGAATCACCCACATGAGGCAGCAAAGTGCCCATCACATGGTTTCCATTTTGAAGCTATTGTGATTGGGTTACAATGCATTATAATGAACTGCAGGAGCGATCATTTCTAATTCATGTGGCACAGAAGGCTGGAATCTTTTTTTGTGCAACAGTGAAAAAAATAGTGCATTATTTGGATGAATCTCACAAAACTGCAAATATAGTCTACAGTATGTATATTTAACACTAAAACCAATCAATTAAAATTACATTTTACATGCTTTGAAACAAAAAGGACCCATAGATTCACAGAATTTGTTATACTGAATTTAATTTGATTTGAAAAATTTCCTTTAAAATCTCATTAAAAAAAAAACAACATTATGTCCATACAATATGAAAAGATATATATTTTGGGATGACAATGGATGTGACAATGCAAAAAAAAAATCTCAATGGTCAATAAAAATGGCCTTAATTTTCTTCAAGCAAAATATTATTTTTATTTATTTTAGGTGAATATGTCCTGCACATTCTGTGAGATTCAGGTTTAATATAATATTAAAGATTAAAAATTATATAAATGCCATTATATATGTTTCCATGCTCAAAACCCACAAATATTGGTTTTGTTTTGAGCACAACAAGCACCCTTTTGAAATAAGGGCATTGGTTCTGCTGACGACCGGTCGGGCCAGTTCACAGCCCACAGAATAACATTTCTAAAGTACACTATGGACATTACTTCAGCAAGGTCAATTATAAAGTTAGAGCTTAAGGTGACACTTGCTTTTTTGGAATGTGGATGCCGGTCAGACCAAAATTTATTTCAGAATTATATAGCTCATTATGAAGCCTTAGGCCGTATTCAGACCTGTAGATCATTTGTTTTGTTCTGAAACAGGAATTAAAATGATTACAGTGTTTTCTTCTTGCTTTGGTTCGCTTTCACAAGGCAACATTTCTTAAAAGGACCAAAATGTGTTAATAGAAGTCACGTGCAAGTTAACCGTCCTCTCGTAAATCATAGCGGTTATCTGTCAGGATGGATGGACAACAGCTCTGCGTTCACATTGTGGCTTTCTTAGTAGCTGCCGTTATATTAAGTTATTAGTCTCAGAAGGAATCAAGGCTTTGTATACATTTGTTGTACCTATTTTTGGTGAAGAGCAATTAGGCACCATTTTAAAATGAACAGGCAGCGCTTTGTCTTTGCAACTTTCAGAGACATTAGCAATTAGCATTAGCAGATTTTCACACAACGTGTATATTTACCTATCATACATTGTGATATAGCTCGGTTCGTTGGTCGAAAGGAGAAGAAAAACAATGCTCCAAATGAGACGTGTGAAAACAGTTGGCCATGACACACAAACACAGACCTCCACTGAAGCTCTGCTAATATTACTGTGGGAAATGCATAAGTAGGCTTAAAGCCAGTTTTGGATTACTTTTTCTTCAGTAACTCAATAGTTTTTGATGTGATGTAAATGCAAGTTACTTTGTTTTGCCATGCATTGACTGACAGCTCTCCTGTCATCATGTAGAGAGAAATTGTAAGCGCAGAGGCGTTGTGTGTGCGCAGTGTGTGAACATGATGAATACTGTATAGCTCTAGACTAAATGTAATCATCTCACTTGAACACAAATAGATTCAGCATTCCTCAAAATGTATTTAAAAAGTGTTTATTACACATACCTGCAATATGTCAAATTACACAAATATACTTTTGCATATTAACAAGTATATTTGCTGCTGACCATTGATTATCAAGCAAAAATGACTGTATAAACATTGGTTTGTTAGAGCTGCACCCTCTAAATTCAGACGTGAATTTGCATTTCCTTCAGCCTGAGGCTATTCATTGCACTTTTGGAGAGAAATGGCCTTTACGTTTGCCAAAAATAGGACTTATTTGTTGTTAAAAAAAACTGCAATTTCAATGGAGTAACGCAATATTGTAATGCATTACTTGCTTTACCCAACACTATCTCCGGCTCTTATAGCACTTAACCTAAAGATTTGTGCTGCAAACAGTGTCGAAAGCAGAATTTTAGCAACTACCTTCCTTTTTCCCCTCCTACTTCTGTATTAAAGTGTGAAAAGGTTCATGACGATTGCAGTTTAGAGTTGTATAAACCCAACTAACTGCATGTCAAACATTTACAGAGCACTTCTTCATATTAAGTTTAGAAACAACATTAGGCTATCATTTTTTTTTAAAGACAAACAAATTATGTTTGTCTAGCTCTGTTCCATTGCATCAGTTGTCTGATATCAGGCGTTACCAGATGCCTTTGTTATAATTAAAGTGACACAAACTGAACCCCTCAGTTCCACCTCCACCCAGGTGGACACCACAAGCTTCCACATTTATTAAAAGCCAGTGAGAGACAGAGAGGCAAAGTAAAAAATGGGTGTTCGGTCTTTCAGAAGCAGAATGTAATCCCCTCACTGGGGAGATGTGGGAGTTGTTTGATGGTGGAAATCCCCTGGGAGTGTGAAAATGCACAATTATCTAATGCTTTCACTTCAGCAGAGCTGCAACTGTTCTTTATATATAGTATACTGTACTACATTACCGGCTAGGATCACAAACGTGTGACTGATAAACACACTAAAAAGGTGCAAAATGCTATAATGGGAACTGCCACTGTTCTTTGTTCTTTGTGGACAATGTGACATGTTTTCATGAGCCTATAGACATTGAGACCCTTCAGCATTAACCAAACAAAACCATAACCAACTTGCACAATTCAAGCTGTGGAATATCTCTTTTGATTAAATTAGTGCTGGCCGATGATAAAACGTGATTAATCGCATCCAAAATAAAAGTTTGTGTTTGCATAATAATATATGTGTGTGTACTGTGTATATAAATACACATATGCATGAATATATTTACCTGTATATACTTATCCATAAATGATATATTAAAACAAATTTTCTTAATTATATACATGTATTTATATAGGCTATACAAAATAATTATACGCAGTAGCTACACGGACATATATTAACACAAACTTTTATTTTGAACGCGGTTAATCGCTGTGCAGCACTAGATTAAATCCTATTTTAAAAGCAATTCCTGAACAAATCTGATCCTTTAGATGAATCAGTTTAAACTGGATTGAATCCCTGCATAGAAATACCTATTTCCAAACTATATTGCAAGTGAAAAACAGTATGCGAGTCGAGTAGTATGTCCGAATTCATAGTATTCATAAAACAGTAGGGGAAAAGTACTACTTCCGGTGACATTCTGAAGTGTGCATCCAATGAACACTTAACTATCCCATGAGGCCACGGTAGAGGAGTTGGGAATCGCCGTGAACCGAAGCAATTGATGCTGTTGGTCAAATTTCTACATGACAAATGTCGTACGAAATTGCCCGCTAAACCCTTATATAGTGGACTATTTGAAGGGACAGTACTGGTGTTAGTTAACATTATTGAGTGCACTTATTCAATCCTACAGTGCAACAAATTCAGAGGATGTTGTTCACAGCGTTCACTATAAAACAGTAATTGAGTGAACAAGTTAGCAATTTCAGCAGCAGCTTCAGAGCCTATTTATAATGTAGAGGCGGAGCTTCAGATTCAAGAGAGCATTTGATTGGACAGCAAATCGATGAGACCCTGAAGTGCTGAGTGATGTCATCAAAACCATTGATCATATTGGCGGAAATGAAAGACTACATTTTGAATGTTTATCTTCTAAATGTGAATTTTGTCTTTGTTTTGGAGGACACTAGCTTAAGATAACAGTATGACAAACATTTATACTAAAAGTAAAAAAAAAACTTCAATTTTGGTTTCATGGGGACTTTAAAAACGGCCAGTTCAAAAGAACCGATTCGGAGAAATGAGTCACTGGAGACGACAAGCAAAGCAACAATAAGTGAGTAAAATATAATCTGAACACCACGGAATCCCTCGCCCACACAAGTGTAAACAATGACAGTTCAGCACACTAATACAACACCATATACAACGCGCAAAATAAACCATAAATAGCGCTCGAGCTCTCTGACGCGGCGCGCGACAGCGTACAATGGAAGCTTTTACTGTCGAGTCGCCGTTTGTGCAAAAGTCGTTAAACATAATATCGCGATATAAAGATAAACACAGCATTCTTCTTTTACAATTCTCACATAAAACCCACTCGAGAGCGTCGGTGGATGAAAACGGGAGCGCTAAGAGCGCCAGGAAACACTGTTTTCAGACTGATTCGCTCCAGAAACGCCCCTTAATGGCTTTAAAATGGCAGCAACACACGAGGAGCTCTTATTTCCTTAATTCTTACCACTTCACGGATCTATTCACATCGAATTCATGTCGTGTATATTGAATAGCAAGGGTTGAAAGCAAACGAGGAATGATTGTATAACAAAAGCTACAAGCAAAACGTTCTGTAATTCTAAACAAGCGCACTTCCTTGAATCTAACTTTGATTATGGTTTATTCACAGTGCCATACGCCCATATTTTGCATCTCAACAACATCAACCGATTATTAATGTTAACCCATAGCTCACGCGTCAAGCGCATCACGAGTTTAATACAAATCAAAACGCGAAAGTAAAATATTGATATTTCATATTTCCACTGCATTTGCATTTATAAATAAACAAGCACTCTCAGGTTAAATCTCCAGCAGTTTACACATTTGCTCCCTCCCCCACTTTTCCTCCCATGCCATTTCTGACGTGCCATTATTATCTTTACATACAATAATGAAAACACTTCAATACATGAGCAACTCAACAAGCGCGTAATAGGAAAATAAGACACTGTAAATTCACATACCCATCCATTGCACAGAGCAAAACAGTGGCGAGATGAAATAACAATGCAAGCACAGGAAAATGATGAAACGGGTGTTACTGCTGTTACTACAGTTCGACTCCCCAACACAAATTCACTCTCTCAAGCACAAAGGCACGCACACACTTCCTGCTCCTGACGTGAACACACACACACACATACACACATGCATACATGTACAGACGCTTCTCTGTACAAAATGGCCTCCCCCTTTCAGCAGACACACCTTTGAAGAATCGCGTAATAATATATGTGTTGTTGTTGTTGTTGGACGTTTTGTTGAAAGCACCAATATAGAGTTCGTTATTGCGCGCGACAACAAGTTCCGCGCGTTCACTTTTTTCAAGCGCAGCGCGTGCTTTTGGATAATTTGATGATGTATCAGCTCTATGAACTCTATAATCTTGTTCCTGGAATATGTTAAAGCAGGGTTTAATCATGTGTAAAGACTTTTTTTTCATACAGTAAAGAAATGTGTAAAATATTATCTGGAAAATATTTTGGCTACATATATTTAGCATACACACACACATAGGCCTAGCTATACTAAAATATGTTATTATATTATATTCCAGCTGTTTTTTTCCTAAAATGAACTCCTTATCAACCATACGAACCATTCTGGTGCAGAATTATTAACTAATTAATGTCACCTAATTAAGCAGTTTGTTTTTTAATAATGATGACTATTTGAATAATGACTATTTGTTATACACATTTCACATCAAGACCGCAGTAAAGATGTTATCCACTCAGTACCTGAAGCGTGTAGGAACTTGTTACACTTGTTAGACCAGCTGAACTGCAGTCTTGTGCTCACATGAAACCTGTCACAAAAAGCACTGTGTAATCGCACCTTAGCCTGCATGTAAATATACATAAAGGCTGTTTTAAATATATATAAAGAAATAAATGTGAAAACATTTATCAAAAAAAGAAAGAATATACATTTTCTAAATAAATAAATAATACATCTAACAGTACAGTAATATATAAAGAAAACAAGTATTTTCTGAATATTCATAGGCCCATTTATTATTTCTAATATTAATCACAGTATTAATGGGGTGTTTATACATGAAAATATATAGCATGCCTTTTAATTTTTAGGATGGGTTCCCTCACACGAGGATGATCATTTGGTTTGTGGCCTATAATCCGCATAGCACACGTACGTCTGCAAGATGTCTGTTAAAGATCACTTCATCTGGAAAGCATCTGCTGTTTACTAACATCTGATAGACATCTTTAAAATGTCAGTTTAACATACATTCTAAATCGTTACATCTTAAATGCATCTTCTAAACGTCTATTTGACATCTTACAGGAAACATCCTATAGACGAATTGAAAAACACTATAAAAAATACGCCTTCCAGATGTAAACGCACATCAAATGGACGTCTGGGAAAAGACTGATAACCCCTGGCTCATATCTATGTATGTTCATCATACAGGCTATCACTGTTATACAGAGACGGTGGATGTCATGGTGGAGGTGTTTACATTACGATTGTAATTAAAACAATTGAAAAATTGTTCTTCAAACAATTACACATTTCCATGGTAACACTGTAGCCAAATAACAAGTGTTTTTAAAGGGAACTATCATTAATCACGATAGATGACAAACATGACACAGGGGTTGAGGCAATCCAGGGGAATGAAAAAAAATCACAAAAAAACAAAAATGCAAAACCAGGTAAACCATTTAATTAAGAAGGCCTATTATGTACACATATAATTGCAACAATGTCTATTTGGATGACGAGCACAGCTCTGCAACACATAGAGGGTGCTATAAGCTGGTAATGTTATCATAGAGAATGAGAAAGAGCTCTGGGTGTAATTTGGCCATAAAGGGTGGAGCTAGATGGTCCAACTGTTATGTCTTCATGACAAGAAGCACAAGCTAGTAGAATTCTCTCAATAAACTTTTTAATAACTGATGTACAAGCAGAATAACATGCAAGCACATGTAAGCACAAGCACAGTGTTCACTCTCCTTCTTCACTCTTTTACTACAGCACATATCTCTCAGCTAAGGCGCTTGAGTGCCACCTAGTGGATTATTAACGTAAGGATATCACACCAACCCCACCCATAACTCTATCCCTCCACCCATTAGACCCTTAGAGGTAGAGCTGAACCTTGTCAAGCTCCGCCCATGATGCCAAGAGAGCTGGAGCTCAATTTGGCTCTGCAGCAACTCTTGGATCTCTGTGTGCTTCACACAGAGACCGCATATACAGTATATATATATATATATATATATATTTCACTGTGAAAAGTTGTGAATGGTTCCAAAAAGCCGAACAGTACCACTTTTTGGGTACCCTGTTGGGTACCTAGCACAGTGGTACATTTATGTTATTAGTGTTTATAAACAATAACCATTGTATCTTTGTTATTATTGAGAAGGGATGTAACAATACCTCATGATAATGACTCATTATCATTTTGCTGGGATCAATAATCTACTGGAACTACTAACTTTATCTTTTTATTTGAAGAGTAATTAAAACATTTACATTAGGATTTTAAACATGACATAAATTAAACAAAATTATAAGTAAGGGATAATCCACGGCTAGCTCTGCATTAATGGAAAATATTCCTCCAAACTCTGATGCATATTAGAAACACCTTCTTTATTGTAATCTTAGCTGAAGTTCATATTTACATGCAAGCCGAACAGGCAGTGTGTTAATGCTACTACAAGAGACCCTTGGTACATCAAGAAATAATTTGTTCCATTATTTATGTGATTGATCCTCCTTGTATTCTTTATTTTTATTCCACCCATCTTTTTTTTTTTTGCTGATTATTCGAACTTTTATTGCATATTTCAGATGCTCCGCGTTCATGAGTCTACCGGAAGTGCAGACGAATCTGTCACTAGAGTAAAGGGCGAGTTCACAGCCTGCAATTTCGGTCTTGGCTTGAGTCTAATGTTAGACACAGAACAGCTCAGACATCACAATGCTGCAGAACACTGGGTGAGTTTCACTCTTATTCTTGCTGATAAAGGCGTATGTTGCACTATTTTGCGCTTGATTGTTGCTGACTAGTATTAAAAGACTGTATCGAGACATTCACGCGATGTTGTTGTGAATGACATAAGAGAGCTGGACTGTTTCGTCAAAACTTTGCAGCCATAATACACAGTCAATGTCAACATTTTGACATTGATTTGGCATTTCAGTAGATTAACCCTATGCATCGTTACATATTTATAGTATTTTTCTAAACTAGAATAATTTGACCTTTACCCTATTTTCCCTTGCGTAAGAATCAAGGAATGCCAACCCAAATACAGCTCTTGATTAGTGATATATTATTGGACAAAACGACACAAAAAATATGCGATAACAAAAAGTGTCACAAATACAAGGCAAATAGATTATGTATCCTTATATTTTATATATTTATGTCACTTTTGTATGTCTTATTAATGTGTGTGAGTGTGTTTATGTACTGTGTATTTTTATACTGTGTGTGTGTGTGTGTGTGTGTGTGTGTGTGTGTGTGTGTGTGTGTGTGTGTGTGTGTGTGTGCAAATATTTGACATTGTCAAAAAAAAATTAGGGAAATCATTATGAAACATGACTTAATTTCAAATGTTTCCGTCTTCAAAACTAATTGCAAGTTTAATTGTAGAATTTGGTATGATATGATGACTTTGACTTCAGATTAGATAAGAATATGATTATATCCATCTCTGATTAGTTATGTTTTGTTTATCTATTATTGTTCGCATAGTGCACTGATTACAATATGATAAGATTATTATATGATTATGCATTCATTTTAGGAAGCTGGCTGGATGTACGCTCTTCATTACCGGAGCGAGTCGAGGAATTGGCAAGGCCATTGCTCTCAAAGCTGCGAGGGATGGTGCCAATGTGGTCATCGCTGCCAAAACTGCTGATGTGCACCCCAAACTCCCAGGCACCATCTACACAGCTGCAGCAGAAAGTGAGTGCATACCCTTACACAGATTTAGGGTACGCTTACACAACAACAGTGTAGTACACACTGAAACTTTTTTCCTTTGAGTTTATGAAAAGTTTAGCTTACAGACGACACCGTTATCAAAAGCGACCCCTGTTCACACAGATCCACGAATGCGACTAAAAACGCTGCATTATTGATGCCAGGCCAGTAGATGGGTGAGGTCACTTTGAAAAGAAACAGAACACTATAAACTGAACAGGTTATACACATGCGCGGGACATCACTGTTTTCAGAAGTTCGCATTTTTGGTGTTTACATGAAGACGATAACGGTATTATTTTCAAAAACATGCACCTTTGAAACCAGTTTTCAGAAGATTGCGTTTTCACGCCTCAAAAATGTCATCTAAAAGCCCTCTTAAAAATGAATACTACAGAATGGATGATTGACAAGTGTTTTTCTGATAGCGTAAATGTTGTGTATTTAACTTTTCAACTCCGTTCTGAGATTTTTTCCCTTAAAATTTGTTTTAAAAGCCAATTTCCCAGTATAATTCTACATTATTTGAAGCATTGAAAATGATTTGATCATTGTATGTTTTGTTATTCGTATTGATTTATTTACATTCGAAAAAGGGCCGTGACATTCATTAGCGTGATGAATTGGTATTAACAGGCGTCAAGTGTGCCAAGAAAATATTTCAGGCACCATCCTACCACTGCCACACTACCTGGACTGTTGTCACAAGGCCAGGAATTCATGCTGTTGATTGAGGCTTTTATTATTGCCGTTTGGCTGTTGGTTCTACCAATCAAACATCACTTGAATGCTGCAGAATGTTAATGTTTTACGGTTCACCATATACATCACCTTATGCATATAATGTACTGTACCCATCTTCTGACTTCAGCCAGCATGATCAAGCATCATGTCACAAAGAACAGGACGTCTCAAACTTGTTTCAGGACAGTGAGTTAACATAGTTCCCATAGAAGACTTTTTAAAGCATGAACAGAACACACAGTAACGTTCAGAAGTTTGGGGTCAACTTTTTTTCAGCGTTTGTTCTCCTCATAACGTGTGTCTCTGCGTTCAGTATCCTCCACAACTGATCGCAAACTGCCTTTCAGATCTGCAACACCCAACTTCCTACAATCCAATCAATTCCTGAGGACGAAATCCAGTCCGACTTACCTTTTCCTCGTACGTCACAATAAAGCAATCGCAACTTCCATTTCGTGCCGACTTTAAGTCTATTACATCATTCTCAATGGTTTGTGGGATGAGTAGCTCTTTCTCCAATAGAAGATGGTTAATAAGTGTATTAGATCTAAGAGAAGAAAGAGTAAGTATATTGTTCCACTTTTTTATCATTGTTTGTGAAAAGACCATGAACAGATATTGTCTGTGTGATAGTTGAAGCTGCAGGAGGGAAAGCACTGCCGTGTATCGTGGACGTCCGTGACGAGAAGCAGATCAGTGATGCCGTTGAACAGGCTGTGCAAAAATTTGGAGGCGAGTTACAGCATTTGAAATGTCTATTCTTCTTAGATGGTGCACGTATTTAGCGCTCAGCTGCGTTTTAATTAGTTTTTCATTTCTCATGGTTCTGATGACAGGGATTGACATCTTGGTCAACAATGCCAGTGCCATCAATTTAACAGGAACTTTGGACACTTCAATGAAGAAGGTCGACCTTATGCTGGGCATCAATCTCAGGGGAACGTACCTGACGTGAGTAGAAGCATTATGTATTGAGATTCACAGATCATTGCAAAAAATCTCTGCGTCACAGATAATATCAGACAAGGATGGCTTGTTTTGAACACACAATACTCTGTTTTCATTACAGATCTAAATTGTGTATCCCACATCTTCTGAAGAGCAAAAACCCTCACATACTTAACCTCAGCCCACCTCTCAACCTCAATCCTGTCTGGTTCAAAAATCACACGGGTGAGCGGAAGAGCCTTCTCACATTCTGTGCTTAAAGCCTTCGGATTTAAACTACCACTGAACATTGGTGACAAATAATGCCACTGATTTTGTTTTCCATCATGTCTATGTAGCGTATACTATGGCAAAGTATGGCATGTCCATGTGTGTACTGGGAATGGCCGAAGAGTTCAGAGGATCTATTGCCGTTAATGCCTTATGGCCCAAGACAGGTAATGGGTTTCATACTTAAATAATTAATTAAATTAGGAGATCATTAATGGATGAGTCGATATTGCGGACATTGTCTTCTGTAATGTATATCTACATAATTTACTCACGCTCATGTTGTTCCAAATCCATCTTCAAAACACAAGTGAACATGAACATATCTATGCCTTTAGGTTCTGTGTTAAAATGCCAATTGTGAACGCTAAGCGGACCAGAAGAACTAAATGTTGTTGTTTTTGTCCGGACCAAATGAACCAAACCAAGTGTGAAGTTGTGAACACAACCTTAGTCAAAATCGACTATGATAACTGAAAATATGATAATAATTGAATTACTCAACCTTCAGCTATCCAGACGGCTGCCATGGAAATGTTGGGTGGTTCTGGGGTTGGTAAACAGTGCAGGAAGGTGGAGATCATGGCTGATGCAGCCTATGCCATCTTGAAAAAACCCTCCAGCTTCACGGGAGAGTTTGTTATTGATGAGGACATTCTCAAAAAGGAGGGCATTACGGACTTGGATATATATGCTGTTGAGCCAGGTTGGTAAATGTTGAAATGGTAAATTATCATTACTAATATATGTACTACTATTTTGTTTGTGTAAAGGTTTTCAAAGGCCCTTCAAGTATTTTACTTTAAATGTCGACATGGCACAATATATTTCCTTTTTTTTTAGGTCATCCATTGCTTCCTGACTTTTTCTTGGATGAAAAGCCTGAGGATCTAGTCAAGCTAATGGAGCAGCATGGTGTGTTATGAGGCATAACCAACACATTTCATCCGTTTTTGTTCTACTTGGTTCATTTACTTTCATTCTTAAGCGTACTTCGGAAGACCTCTCAGTGCCGATATTTTGAACTCTTCAGGTGCCACTCCGGTTTTCAAAAGTGGAAAAGCTGATTCTGCCCCCGTGGGAGCTATTTCTGAGATGTTCAACATAATCAAGGGAATTCTCAATCCAGATATTGTGAAAACCACACAAGGAGTGTATAGATTCGATTTATCAGGTACTTAAACCATTCCAGTTCCAGTTTTGTGGCTTTGAGTGTGTGCTCTCTTCTAACACTCTTCAATTTTTTTTTTTTTGTTACACTGAATAATAAAAAATAGGCTTTGGAAGCCCATTTCTGCCACATAAGGAAAAAACATGCTTTGTTAAATTATAATAATCACACAAAAAGTCACAATCATAACATTATTTGGAATTATGACACTAAAAGTCAAAATCACATACTAATTTTGAGTTCAAATTTAGATTTAGAGTCAAAATCATTGCTTACTTGATTTTTGTATCATAATTTAGTATCGATTCCAGTGTATTTCCACTTTTTTGTTCCATTTCAAAGTAAACTGTCCCTTTAACTAAAGGCTACTGGCTTAATAAAAAAAGGGACAAGCCGCATATGTCCTGTCCCAACTTCCTGTTTCAATAGGAAATACTTCAACTTGGGAATCCATTTCATGGGGCCTTCAATGTTACATCTGTGCTGTTTTAACAAAGTTGTCTGGCTGGGTTGGCAGGCGAGCATGCTGGAGTCTGGTACATTGACCTGAAGAATAATGCCGGAAGTGCCGGCTACGGGGAACCACCAGTCAAAGCTGACGTCGTCATGGCGTTGGACAGCGCAGACTTCGTCAAGATGTTCGGAGGTATAAAATGTGTTGGTGATGGACTTCACACACTACTGACATAACTGGAAGCACTGATGAAAACCTTGTTCTTCGTCCATAGGGAAGTTAAAGCCCACCATGGCCTTCATGTCTGGAAAGCTGAAGATCAAGGGTGACATGGGCCTTGCCATCAAACTGGAGAAGATGATGGCCTTGATGAAGTCTAAGCTGTGATATGATCACTCACTCTGTTGCCTTAAATGATGTACATGATCTCTTTTCTATATCACTGTTTTCATTAAACCATTTGTCCAGATGATACTAATTTTAATAAAGGATTTTCCTTTAGTTACATTTTCTTCACTGCAAGTTAAGGTGAGACACCTCCGGTGAATTGGGTAAACAAAATAACTAATAAATATCACCAAACTTCACCAGTTAATTGATTACATTAATAATAGCAAACTTTTTTGTATTACAAGTTTTCAGAAATTGTATGTTTAAATATGCAATTGTCTAATTAAATATGCACTGATTTGCATACATTTCTAGAACAAAAATCTGAACATTGGATGAAGTTAGGTTAAAAATTGTTTCATTGATTTGATATATGAAAGCCAAAGGTTTTTACAAAGGGGGATTTTGGATATCTATCACTCCACAAATCAGAAAATACAGCCAAAAATAATTACATTTCTGCCATTTTTTTAAAGAATAAAATGTTGTATAAAATCAGCATAATTATATATGAACAAACCCCTTTGTAAAAACCTTCATAATATGGATAAGAATAAAACTGTAAAGTTACTGAATTGGAGATTTATGGCTCAAATTAGGACAAACTCATTTTGAGAAAAAATCCTTACTATTGATCCCTACTCAATACTAATTGAAATCTACAATGCAAATAGATAAAGTGCTCTAAAAGAGACAGTTAAAGGATGTTTTCTGTCCACTAGTCTGAAAAAACACTTTATGGAAAGCCAAAAATCTCAAAATTGACAGATGTAATTGACAGTTTTGCCTCCAGTGTCTCCACTTAATAGATTTGTCATTGCATCAGACTCTTAAAAAATGACCACCAACATACCATAATGAATATAGCTATAGTAAAACCATAATTAACCAAAATAATATAGGAGCTCATGCGAACAGTGTAAAAACTGTCATTTCTTTCTCTCTTTTTTTTTGTTACTGTGGTTTTACTATCATAATTCTATTATTCTTCGAGGGATGGAGGTTTATCTCATTGACACTGATTATGTATTTTGATTTATCTCATCTTGAAAGTGGTTTTAAACCACTGCTTATAAAACCATGTTTTTGAACGTAACTATTAAAGTACATATTATTTGTCCTTTTTGATGTCGCCTTTCTGCCTTTAAGACTAACATTTCAGAACAGAACCTGTGATTCTCTAAAATTGTGTGATGATCCTTTAGTAAAATGCATTTTCGCTTTAATTTATCTTACAAAACAGTCTAAAATGATGTATGCAACTTTTTCATTAAATGTCTTTGGAATACAATACAATACATTCCACTTAAGTAAATAAATAAATAAATAAAAATAGCTAGCCACAGAATATATAAATTGTAAATTCATCTTACACAGCCAATTCATAGCAGGCAAATTAATCACAATAATATCAGGGAAGCTTACCAAATATATTTTATAACACTATAAGTCTATTACTCTTCTTATTATCTATCTGGGTAAGATAATTGAAAAGTAGCCTAATTTAAATTCTACTAAAAATAAAAGGGAATGAGCGTTGAGACCCTAAGAATTTCTAATTATGAATGAAAAATTTCCCCAATAAAATATGAAAGTTCACCACATGAATTAGAGACTGATCCTATTATCCTATTATTATGATACTATTATCATAATAACATATTACATCCTTGAGAGAAAAAGTTATAAATTCTCATGGGAGGATGGAATATGAAATAATTTAAATCAGACCAAAACTTCTTTGTAGAATCACAATGACATGCACACTGCCTGCCTGCCATATCATATATCTCGGACACGTACTTCCGGTGGTAGCGGAAGTACCCGCTGTACGTCCATTAAAAGCAAAATTAATGGCTTTTGTATAAAATGCTGTCAAATTTTGAAGAACCGCGGATAAATTAAGAGTTTGTTTTAACAAATTATGTTTGATATCGAGCGAAGAGCCAGCGAGCAGCACACGTGACGGACATCGGAGTGGATTCTCCCGTATGAAGGTACATGATGCTTTTGTCGGGCTTTGTGTTTATGCAGATCCAGACTCACGGGCTCTGTCTCAAACCTAGTCAGCTGTCTGCTCGCGCTACATCTCGGGGATTTGATAATGTACATTCGGACCTCTGCGTTTATTACGCGAATATGAATACGAATAAAACTGCGGGTTATATAGAGGCAGCGTGATCGGTATTCATAAACAGAGACATCAATGGATTCATGTGTCAAACAACTGATCACAATAGAGCTAATCGTAGCAAACAAAGCATGTGGGCGGTGATGCTTTTGACAGGGGTGTGTCTTCAGTTAATTTCGCTAATAAAAAAAGTAATAATCAAATAACCTTTTGTAATTCATTGGTTTTGTTTAGATTTTTTTATATTTTGCTTGGGGATGGTATTCTCATAAGTACCTTGGAATACCATGAACATATTTTGGTAAATTAATATGCTAATCATTCATTACCATCACATACCATAATGTCACAGTACTTTATTGTAAGTGACTAGACAGCTAAGGACACTTAAAAGTATAGTAATCTACTGGATATACCCTAATGGTGATTTACATAAATGCTCACCTGAGAACATTTAAAAAGATAGGCTACTTTTACTATTAGTATTAATAGTGTCGCCGAAACACATGGAGACCTTTTTAATGAAATCAGATTCTGTGCCATTGCAACATAACTTTGATAATTCAAAAACTTATTCCTAAAGAAGTGAGCCATTGTGAAAGCAGTCTATATTTATTATTAATTGATAATTCATCTAAGTATTCTGAGGAGACACGATCACATTATATTAGCAGATTTATTCACATAAACATTAATATGTGCTGCTTGCATATACATAGAACACATAAAATATGGTCAAACACAAGCTCAGGTTGACCAATTGGTGACAGAATTTTATTTGAAGCCATTTAATTATTGAAATGCATCGTAATGACCTTATTGTGAACATTATGAAAGTAAAATGGGCTACACCTGCGATTTGATTTTGACTTTAAGTTGATCGTATGCAGAAAACATTTGTATTGATGATAAATTAACAGTAACAGTACTTTATTGAAAGGTAGTAGCTTATCATACTCATAATCATCGGATAAAATAATGTTGATGCATGACAACTTGAAAAAAGTTGAATTGAACATTTAATATGAATATCTTATAGAGGGCAACAGGCCGATTCCAGAGGAATTCGCGTTATTTCATCTTATAAATCTTTTAAATAATTGTTTAACAGCAGAACTCGTTGTGAAAAGCTACATTATCCATGATGCTGTACAGAAAATCACACCAATCAGAGTCGAAACAAGCAAAACTTGCCAAAAGATCTCTTTAGCTCCGCCCACTCCCATGAAGCACTACGAATAATGTACATAGTCTTCCCACACTCTCAAAATATTTAAATATTTCGATACATATGCATATTAGTAAAAAAAAAATGCATATTGTATATAAAATCAACATTTTTTAATGAGTAGTTTTATATTTCTCAATTTTTATATTGATTATGCTGTTCGCAATGCGTCTTAGGATTGTAGTTCTTTCCCTCTCTTAAGCCATTAAGTACCCAGTCTTGTACCTTCGTAATTTTGTCCGATTTTCAAATACTTTCTTGCTTCAAATCAAAGTTTTGAAGAAAATTGTATGATTCACCTCGTAGCTGGTTGACTTGGCTTCATGGCTAATAATCCCTATGGAAGAAATTAATGGAAAAAATATTTCCAGAACCAGCGCCTCTAAAAAAAAAAAAGGTAGGTGGCCATTGTTGCCCTCTATTGGTTTGTTTTACTCTTTTGCGTTAAATTTGGCATGAATTCACCCTAATTTTTAAATGCAACTTAGATTGATTTTATGGAAGTAAAATGATTAGCAACTGCCTTTTTGTTGCCTTTAAGTTTATCACACATGCAATTTTATTGAAAATTGAATGAATCTTATCATCCCAAGGGGAGGAGGCTCAACATGGAGGACTGTTTGCACACTTCCTCCGACAACCTCGCTAAACTGGTGAAATGGGCCCACAGTCATGGAACAATCTGCACCTTGATCCCCAACCTAAAACACATGCTGAACGAGGGCTCTCACGGCACCCTGACGGCCATGTGGGGCTGCAGTGCCGGTCACGCCTACCACTGGCCCCTCAACACCACCTGCAAAACCGGGAACAAGGAACGCATGTGCTACGCAGAGAGCCGCAGCATCAACACGGACAGTATGATTCAGGCAGCTGCCGTCATGCAGAACTCCTCGGCCGAACGTTTCCTCGGCAATGCCGGAAAACACAAGGGCAGCTCCAGCCAAGGCGACTCCAGTCAGATCCACGACTCCTGCGACATCTCCAACTGCAGCGAAGCCTCCGAGATGGACGACAACGGCGAGGAGTACAACAACAACCTGTACGACATCGTCTGCGAGTCGTCGGCCACCGATGAAGACGGCGACTCCGACTTCAACCACGCCTCGAACGCCGTGCACAGGAAAAGAGCCAGGAAAGGACCAGGACCCGAGGACAGCACTGACCCGGCGTTGAAGAAGATCAAACAAGAGAGGGGTGAAGACTATTACAGTGTGGCCAACCAACAGATGCCTTGCAGCTCGGAGGGGAACCGCTCTTCTGGAGGCGTCACGCAGTCGCCCAGGCCGAACCTCCAGAACAGGCCGTCCTCTAGTTCTTCGATGTCCCAGAAGCCTTCCTCTGTAGACGGAGATGCCCTGGCGGTGTCCTCGTCTCCGCTTGACAACTCCCCTACGTCCATGATCAAACCCTTGCGTGCGCCTTTCCACGTTACCCAGAACAAAATGCACATGAACTCGAACCCTGCATGCAGTCAAAGTTTGGCAGCCGTTCCCCATTCTGGAAGGATTGACGCTATGGGGGTGCTACACCGGGACGAATATCCCAGGTCTTCTTTGTCTTACGGAGAGGCTTCCATTGGTGTAAACCCTGAAATGGATCTTCTAGCAACGCAAGCACTTAGTACAGAAGTTAGAGCAGACAACACAGGTAAAGACCCTTATCTACAATAAATGTCTTTATGTTTGTGATGAGAAAGGATTGAGAATGTTGTTGTTGAAATCACACTTAAAAATGTAAATTCATTAGATGTCATATGTTTCCACCGCAATTACCAGGAACTATTTGTCCCAGGAACTTTTTTCACAGGAACTTTTTTTGCCCCAGACCGCTTGCGTACTGCGTTTACACCTCGTAAAGTACCGGTCTGGGGCGGGAAGATTATGTAGCGACGTTGAACTGCGTCCGACTGCTCTTCCTAGCCTGCGTGTTTGTTTTGAGTTTTGTATGGAGGAGATTCAAGCTTTGCTGCTTTTGTGATTGGTTTACTAACGAGGAAATTAACAAAACGGCAGAAAAGAGACGAGCATCCAAAGTGTATTCAGAAAGCTCGTAATGCTAGATATAAAAGTAGACGTTTGTTATCAGCGGACATTGACCGCGAGATGGATGGGACGAACACGCACCATTGGGCAGAAAGAATAGCGTGGTAAGAACCAATCCCCAAGTCCCACCCCGAAAGTTCCTGAACTCTGAAAAGTACCACCTCGCCAGCAGGGACTTTCTGGGGGGCAATTTTTACCTGGAACTTCGTTTAGACCCTGGTTCCTGTGGTGTAAACACACAGAGTACCACCCCAAAGTTCCTAGTTCCTGGGGAAAGTTCCTGCGGTGGAAACGTGGCTATGGTTGCTTTTAAAGAGCACCTTTTTACACCTTCAACTTTCTTTAATGTTGCTGTTTGAGCATGAAAAAGGTCTGTAAAGTTACAAAGCTTATTATTTAAAGTTCATATCAGTTTAAACTCCCTGAAACGTCTTGCTTGTAGTCTTCGGTTTTCTTCCGAGAACAAACACGTCACAATATTCCTCATTTAAATAATGCCAAGGCATACACAGAATAAAGGGACGAGGCCTGTTTGAGTTAGTTGGAAGTGTGTTGAAACTCGTGGGACATTTCCAAAACACACTCAAAACTGGTTGACCAATCACAACATACCGGTCCAGCTGGCCAATCAGAGCACATTCAGCTTTTCAGAAGGAGGGGCTTCATTGAGACAGGAACTAAACGGAGCGTTGCTGCCTGGGACAGCCTGGGAAGATTCATATATATTTATATTTATATACTATTATTTTAGCATTTCATTATTTTTTTAAATGTCAATTTCATTATACTTTTAGTTTAATGTTCAGTAATTTTGTGCTTTTGTCATTTTTATTTGTTTAAAAAATATTTCTATTTGACTTTTATTTTTATTTATTTTAGTTTTAGTCATTTTAGTACTTAAACTTATGTATTTTCCAAGTTATTTTCCAAAGAATTTTTTTTAGTTTGTGAAACAAATTTTAATAGTTTTCATTTTAGTTAAAGTCCCCCTGTAGTCAATATTTGTATACCTTAAAACGTATCCTTGATCACCAAAATTATATATTTAAATGCTTTTTTCCTTGAAAAAAAAATCTTTATGCCTTAAAATAGCTTGACTGTAACTCTACACCCTTGCCTCATTTAGTGTACGCGGTTCTATGAATGTGCAAATTACATAGCTTGATTTTCACTACAGGGAGACTTACACAATAACAGCACTGCTGCAGAGGCATGTAGTGCAAGGTACCAACAAGTACATAAAACATAAAATCGGATATTATTATGAAATTTTTATTACATTGCAAGGTTAGTAAATGCATGACTTTTGGATTGACCTTTTTTTTATTTATCTAAAGCAATGGCATATAATACTTGTACAGTGTATGAATTCATTTTATTTTTATGAGTGTCTGTTGAGCCTTTGTGCTTGAAATGAACATAAACCCACTTAAAGGATTAATTCACTTCAGAATTAAAATACTCACCCCCACGTCATCCAAGATGCTCATCATGTCTTTATTTCTTCAGTCAAAAAGAAATGAAGGTTTTTGAGGAAAATTCCAGGATTTTTCTCCTTATAGCGACGTCAATGGGATCCAACGGGTTTAAGGTCCAAATTGCAGTTTTAATGCAGCTTTAAAGACTCGACATGATCCCAGTCTTATCTAGCCAAACCATTGGTAATTTTCAAATAAATAAATACATACTTTTTAACCACAAATGCTCATCTTGCACTAGCACTGTGATGTGCCACGCTTTATGTAATCACTTTAAAAGGTCACGCTTGTTCTGGCTCAAACTGTAGGGTAGGGCGAAAAACGCCATTTTATTTTCTCGTCCAACTTCAAAATCGTCCGAAATCGTTGTTTTAACGTTTATTTATTTATTATATTGTAAATGGCGCTTGACTTGGTCTTTGCACGTTTGCTTTGCAAACACTAGGCCGATACTTCCGCTCAACGTGATTACGAATTTCTTTTCGACTGATAAAAGAAAGACGTGGTGGTGAGTAAATTACCAGGAAATTTTAATTCTGAAGTGAACTAATCTCATAGTCATGACCTAAGCAACATGAAGGTGCTATAAAAAGTAAAAAGTAAAATTCCAGTGTTGCTCAATAGATCGTAGCTTTAGAGGCAAAGCAAACCGGCACCTTATGAAGTGTACATTGTTTGCTTTGAACATTGATGAATGCAAATTGAATGGTTCTGCATAATAATTTAATCACGCGAGCCACTTTTTGTGCCCTAGCCGCAACCACACACCCAATGAAAAAAGCCTGAACAAAAATCCATACTAATAATGTAGTTGCGTAGACATCCCAAACAAACACAAAAGGTTAGTATATTGCACATGCATTTCTGTGTGTGATATTTGTGAGCGAGCCTGTGTGGGTGGAGTGCTGGCTTATATTGATCTTCTTAATTACATTGATGACGTCGTCTCATTCAAGGGCATAAATTAGATTTATCACACTGCACAAGCGTAACCCAATACTACACTAAAGACATGATGAAACACACGCCAGATGCAATTCAAGCCTGGCCAAAAAGAAGAATGCTGTGTTCAAGGAGTGAACATCTTTGCCTACATATTTTCTTTAAAAAGGAAAGTGAATGACTATATTAAGGATAAGGGGTGATGCACTCAGAACACGTTTTTCCATTCCACTGCGCTTATCTTCCATAGTTTTTCAATGTAAACACTTGCAAGATGGACGTGTTTAACTGTTGCACTTGTCTTTTGCAGTGCTAATGTTAAAAGAAGTTCAGCTTTTGGCGTTTCTTCCCATGCACTGCCTGTGTCTTGTATTTTTAACCGCAAAAACACATTCTTTGTGAAACGGCCCTAAGGGATTATTCGCGCACAAGATATTTTCACTTTGAAAAACAAGAGACACAGGCAGTGGAATTTGGAAAAACACTAGGTCGCGAGAAGTTGAATTTCTTTTTATCCTCTGGTGCATTTCGGTCATTTTTGAGAACTTTTTTTTTAATAACATTTTTGTTTTTGAGGATTTTTTACTTCATCAGAATGGTAGAAAACTTGGTAAAGGTTTTGGCACTTTCTATGGGAACATAAAAAATGTCATGGACATGATTCGAAAGGGTTAAATGGTCCTTTCAAAAATTAGCGCATTGGAAATTAATGGAAGACGAATTTCATCTAGTGGAAACTTTTGGTACTGCGCCCAAACACAATCTTACTGAAAGCTCATTAATTTTAGATATCAAACTCAAATTTGGAGCACAACTTGTTTAGATTTATGGCTTTGATTGTCTCACAGTTTTAGAGTAAAATATTGAATTCAATGTAAGTTCGAAAATATTTTTGTGAATACAATAAACTATAAACTTTTAAGTTAACTTTTTTTTCTCTCTTCTTCAGCGATAATCTTCCAAGGGTCTTCTTTAAAAAGTGACAACTCAAGTCTGTGCTCCAAAGCATTGAAGATTTATGTTTAAGTTTTCAAGTCTATGTTCAAAAAGTGAATAAATGGATTATTACTACTGCATAGATATAATTTAGTACTTATGAAATTCCTTAAAAATACAAAAAAATAAAAACATTATCAAACTAAAATATATACATTCATTTCATTGAAAAAAAAATGCAGTTTCTATTAGAATGCCGTGGAAATGGAAAAACACTTTCTGTGTGACTCAGCCCTAGCTATAACACAACTTTATGAATGCAGGCATGCTGAATGTGAGTACGGTTTAAGCAAGACACGTTCAGTTTTTTTCATAAACCGCTGCGTAGTGTACCTTTATGGTAGACCTAATTATTTGACGAAATTATTTACATCAAAGTTAAGTACGAAGGAGAAGAAATTACAAGCAAGAGTGGAGAAACTGAGTTAGCAAAGATTGATGTATTCATAACTAAGTTTATGTTTCCTAAAGTTGGAAATATCTTTGCAGCGACATACTGTTAACGAACATCCAGACGCCGTCCACACTGTTTAATTGAATATGTAAATATGTGCTGTGCGCTTTCCTCTAATAACAAAATAAACGCACAACAAAAATAACGGCGGTAAGAAAACGGCAGGTAAGAAAGCATCTGATCATAGCGGTGTGGATGTTTCTGCACCAGCTCTGCAATTCGGTACTATCTTCTCAATTCACGTCACATTTTATATATATATATAGCCAAATGAGCGATCATTGTCAGCAAAGTCCACTTCAACTGATATACCGTGTTGGTTGCAAAGTGGACTTCGTTGACAACAATCACTCATATGGAATGCCCTGCAACGTCATCAAAGAAAGGATCGCGCAGATTATGATAAATCATAAATCAATATTTACTTCCAAATTTAAAACCATATAATAGGCCTACAAAACACAGTATGTATCTAATAAATAATAATCAAAACATCTATTCGTTTTATTAGTTTATTACATAGTTGTGTATTTTATCGACTATTAACATATATTTGAAGCTGTATAAAAATAAATATACGTGTACGTAAACTCCTCCATTGCAGAGCCGTGTAAAACTCTCTTCCCACCATAGACTGTAAAATAAAGGGCTTCCAACGGCTCTGCTCTTGTTAGTCTTTACTGTCTCATACTGGTTCAGACAATGACAGTTGGGTGATTTTTCGCTCTCCACTTCCTGTGAAGTCATGTTCGATACATGTTCCCTTATTCCCCACGCTGTGTGCAGTGCCCTTCGACCTGAACATGTTCGCTCTCTCTTTTTCACTGAAATCTTTTTCACTACATATCTCTAAAAACAATATTCTATCTTTTCTTTTCTTTTTTCTTTTTTTTTACAAATTCTAGATTGGTGCTTCATTCTGAGTACATTTTATGATAAAATCCCATTTTTCAGGGAAGTGGGTATCTCTCTACATGGCATTATAAATGAATTCAATCTCACACAGGCAGTTATTTGGTTTTAGGAAGCTAGTTAATGAGATCGCGTCCTCACCCATAAGCCATTAAGCTGTTTTCCCAAGAGACTCTGGGGATATTTGACATTTCAGTCCAGATGGAAATGGATGACGCTGTTATTTCTTTAACTGCAAATAAACCGAACGAAAATAACAGGTGAGTTTTCTTGACACTTTCTCTCTTTACTGAGAGAAAAATAGATGTCAGTAGATTTAACGTTGTTAAAGTGTCATGTGATTATGTGTTATCATAAGCATGCATACAAATGCTTAAAAGATAATATTCATATCTCTTTTTCTGCGGACAAACTATAATTTTATTCTGTTTACAGGTTCACACGAGAAGATGGATTATGCTGTGATTTTGAAAGCCCTTCATGGTTAGTTTTTTGTGCAAGAACTTATGATCTAAAAGCATTGCTGTTTTATATTATATAACTATATTAATGGGTAAATCCCACAAAACCTGTCAATAAACCATGTCCAGCTCATATTTACCCAAAATTAAAACTATTTTATAAAAACCTCAATGTTTTTTTGTTTTGTTTTTTGCAATGAGACATTTTCATGAGAATTAAGCACAAACACTATTCTCGGAACTACATTAAAAATGTAATGTATAAAAAAATACATATACATTTATAAATACATGCATTTACATTATGGTAGTATTTGTACTGGATGAAATTTTTGCTGATTAAAAAAACATTAACAAAATAAATGTTTTTATTTTTATTTAATTCAATAAAACGTTACTGTCTAATTGCTTTTTGGTAATGAGAAATACTTTTTTGTAATTGTTAGAAAAAAGATCTGAGAATTTGGGAGGAAAATGTGCTTATTTTTCATAAAATGAATATCACAATGCAAACAGTCTTGGTTCTTTGAGAGCAACGTGTTTCCTATTGACAGGTTTTGTGAGAATCGTAGAATTTTTCCTCTGTATTGATTCTTATAATTGATGAATTTGCATGAGGCAAATGAATTTGGAGGAAACTTTGCATCATGGCAAATAAAATAAAATGTCTCTGATGAAAATGCCTTGATTGTCTGTGGACTTACCGATTGTATGAACCGAAGTACTGACCAGTCCTCTACTGGGATGTGGTGTGGGAAATGCGTTTGGTTTGAAGCGTTGTGTTTCTGCCAGCTGATTGCAATATCGGGTCGGGAGGAAAGTTCATCCGCTTCTAAACGCTTATTTGATGTATTACAGAGCATCTGGTTCCTGCCGCACACAGTTCAGAAGAGCAGTTCTGCACATCAGATCTCAGTCCAAACAGTGAGAGGTATTTTGAAGAGAGAAAACACCTGGAAGAGTTTATAACAAGCATAGGTGAGCTAGAAGCCCGATAACTATATCAGTTGAATGTAATTGTGATTGATGCACCATCAGTAATGTCAACAGGTCAATTCTTTTGAATAAATTGCAGATACTATAACCCTACAAAACCTGCAGACAGTCATTGATCGGATCCTGGTGTTTCACGAGCGAACGCAGATGCCTCTGTCCAGTCCGGCCAGACTGGGGGAGCAGGAGCTGTTTCCCGGGAGCGGACTCTTCCTGCCGCACTACAAACTGGCCTCCATGCTCCAGGAGTCCCGGCAGGACAGCATGAGACTCTTCCACCTGCTGTTCGAGCACTTCTTCAGCGAGGAGGACCTTAACGGGGCCGTCGCTTTCGGGAAGAGGGGAAAAGTACCTGACGGCAAAAAGATCTTGGACAGGAGAAGAGTGGATGGGATTATGTGTGAGTATTTGAAATGGGACGGTTCACTCTTACTTGACAATTTTTTTTTCAATTAAGTTCATTAAAAGTGACAGACATTTACGTTACAAAAAAAGTTATAAATATATGCGGTTCTTTTGAACTTTCTGTTCATCAAAGAATCCAGAAAAAAATATTAAGCAGCAAAAACTGTTTATAATAATCAGAAATGTTTCTTGGGCATCAAATCATCATATTAGAGTGATTTTTGAAGGGTCTTGTGATGCTGAAGACTGGAGTGATGGAACAGGAATAAATTACATTTGAACATATAATCTCATTGAAAACATATTTCACAATATTACTGTTTTTATTCAATATTTTACAGTATTTTTGTTCAAATCAATGCAGCATTGGTGAGAATAAGAGACTTCATCCTTTTGCTGATATTTAATATTTATATTTATATATAAATTATTTTATATATTTTTATATATTTTTTTTTTTTCAGAACTTCTAGTAGATTTTAAATGTTTAAGACAAATAATCAAGTATGTTCTTCACTGTTTCCCCCTAAACAAAGAAGGAAACATGTATTTTTTTATATTATCAAATTGCACTGATATAACAACGCACAATAGCTATAAACAGTAATATTTACATAATTATATTTTTATTTTTCATGTGTGATTTTTTTTTTTGAGTGGTCTCTGAGCTGTCATTAATCCACCATTTGTTTTTTCTAACTTCCTCAAAATTTTAATTCCCTAAAATGTTTTTGATTAAAAAAAATGTATTTATTTCCATTTTCTCTCACAGCATATGTACTGCGTTGCTCTACGATAGACGGATGGACTCCTGTGGAATCATCGAAGCTGAAGAAGGCCTGTATTAATAAATGCAGACTTCGAATCGGCCAGAAAAAGAAGCAAGAATCTTCTCAAGAGTCTTTTATTTTTTGTGACGAACAATCTTCTGGCAAAAATGACCCTTCTTCCTATATCTAATTGCTAAATACCCAAAAATGTCCATTCACAGGCAAATGCTATTATTATACATACAGTTGAAAGGAAACACTGTTTGCCAAGTGATTGAATGGAAGCTGCCGATCGGTGTCTTGGACATGAACGATTAAACGTGGAGTCGTTAAAAGCTGATTCTGTTCAGCTACAGCACTAAGAGATGAAAGATTCTCGGTCAGACAAATGAACTATTTCCATTTCTTTCGTTTCAGCAAAACCAACATTATCTATACTGTGATAGTTACTGACTATTGACTTGTTTAGTCAACACAAACCTGTTTATAACTATTCAAAATAACGTTAGAATAGTCTAGTGCTTATTCATGTTAGTCATGTAGCATTGTAACAATCAAAACAAGTTGTCAAACCATTTTGATGGGTTTTACTCATACCTGATATCTTTAAATATTACAATGTGAACTGTTACCATATCAAAACCACCTTAAACTGTATTTTATTGCCTTTTTTCTTCCTTTTTCCTCTGCTGCTCTGATTTGTCAATCAGCATCCCACTAAATTGAGGTTAGCCTCATTACATGCTTGTGCATGATTGACCGAATATTGATTTTAAAGATTTATAACCATCCCACAAAGTTTTTATTACTCCACATGTTTTGTACATTTAAAATTTTTACCTAGGTGATATCCTATCCACCTTATTTTGCAATGTGCACTAAACGTTAAAACTATTTGCGCTACAAACCAATGTGTTTCTAATTACGTTAATACATTAAAGACGCTATATGAAAGAAAATATCCCTTTTTTATTGCCAATGTGTGAAAAGCTTGTAATGAAATTCAAAAAACAAGATCTTCCCCAACTTCATAGGTTGTCTGTGATAGCCTGTGGACTCATTTTTATGTGAAGGACTTGGGATTTGTTTTTTGTTTTTATGGGAAAATACACTATGTGTTGTTTATGCTCCCGAGAGCCTCTCTTCCATTCAATGACACATAAATCGAATGCTTATATTCGGGATAATGGCAAAAGATCTTTTCTATAATGTCGTATAATCCAACCCTCGTTCATCTTCGGAACACAAATTAAGATATTTTTGATGAAATCTGAGAGCTGGATCACTCCCCCATACTAGTCCATAGGCTTCTATGGGATTGAAACTGGCCGGCCCAGAAAAGTTATAAAATAGTCCAAATGAATAAAGTGGCGTTTATCAAGCGTCGAGAATACTTTTTGTACGCAAAAAAATAATAAATAAATAAATAACTTCATTCAACTATTCATTTCCTTCTCTTTGGGCCTCAGAGTGAGTTCACGTAGTGTAATAGAGCAGCACTTCTGTGTTCCTGAAGATGAACGAAAGTCTTATGGGGTTGGAACAACATGAGGGTAATTACGGACGGAATTTTCATTTTTGGGTGAACTAATCCTTTAACTGCTGTTTTCCCACTGCTGTCGTTTTTGTTGTGCATTCATTATGTTAATGAGAGGAAAACTTCACCTGCATTGAATCACGTTCAGTCTTTTTTACGTCACGTGTGCTCGAGTGCGAGGACAAGCAAAAGTAAAAAGTTGCTGACTGCAGTTCACTTAACGGCCACTGATGTCGATAATAACAAGGCAATTCTACATATAGCCCCTTTAAGATTTTATGGTAAGTAATACGCGTTTGCAATATCAAGCAGCATAATATAAAAATAACTGGAAGCCCCTCAACACATTCAATTCACAAATGGCCGCGGCCACTATTACTCCACAAATAAGGTGGATAGGCCACTTAGCATATTACAACATATAAAATTACTGCCAGAAATGTTAGATTTGTTTATTTAGTATAAAAAAAACCAGACAATTAACAATTCCTGTGTTAAAGATATTCCTAAAAATGTCTTGCTGTCTGTGAAGTGCTGAAATGAGTCTATAGTGAAAAGGTCACTCAAGGACTCACAAACTTCTGATATATAATGAAATTGTTCATTTGGTATTAGTAAAGCAGACTTTAAAATATTGAAAGGCTCCGTAAGTTTGATCACTTTTTCATAACCAAGTATTATGTTTTTTTTATGAACCTAGGTACCGGTATATCACGTTGTCCACAAATGTTTAATATAAAAGAAACAACTGAATTGAGCATTTAGTATGTTTATGAAAGGTCAATCTTTTTGTAATGGTTAGGAAGTCTTCACCTGACCAGTTTTAACAGTGTTTTGTTTTTGTACCTTTGATGCTGAACTTGTCCTTATTTTAGCACTTCTACGAAGACTAATGACTGATGTTCATTTTCAAGTGTGTAAATACTCAATCATCCTGGTGTGTCTTAAGTGGTCTTTTTTTTGTCATTTTATGATGCGTTCCAATAAAATCAATGACCAAATGATGTATGTGTTGCATTTTTGACTTTGAATGAATCGCTGCAATTTAGCTTTTTTTCCTTTGCATGTCATCTTATATTATAAGGTAGAATTTTCTTATTGACTGCTTATTATTTCAGTGTATTTTATTTATGAATTCCGCTTTTACCATTTAGCATCAGTGGGATTCATTTGAGGTGGTTTAGTCTTTTCATCTTTTTCCTATTAGAAATTATGATTTTTAATGTTATCACAAAATAATCATATTTGAAAAAAAGTTGCAAAATAAGCCTACTAAAAGTAAAGACATTTAAATAAGTATTATAAAGATGACCTTCGTTTAAACCACCCCAAACAAAGACAAATAAAACTCCCCGTCTAAAAGGGTAATCGTCAAGTAATGATAAAAGGATCACATTTCAAGATGTGACCCGGCAATCAATCAGAATAAGTTCTACTGGAAACCGTGTCGGGGGAAACGCATTGCAAGTAATGCAGGATATGTAATCAGATTACTTTTTCAAGTAACTAGTAAAGTAATGCATTACTTTTTAATTTACAACAAAATATCTGAGGATAACTATGATTAAGTACGGTAAAGTTGGGTTACTTTCAATAAAAAGTAACTAAATAATGCAAGTAGTTACTTTTTTCAGGGAATAAAGTTTATATTGTAAGTAACATTACTTTTAAAAGTAACTTTTCCCAACACTGACTGGAAAGAGAAGTGTTCTGAATTATATTAAAAATATATTTTTGGACCCCTTTGTCAAGCTAAGCGAGATAAAAATATCCTTTTCCATTAATCATCCAAAGCATCTACATCTTTGTGCTGTGAAATATATATATATATATATATATATATATATATACTGTATATATAAAACTTACTGTCTGGTCGAGTGCAAAACTCAAGAAGCTAAAAAACAGCAAATCATAATGTTAACCGCAAGATGCCGAATAAAATACGTCCTGTGTAAATGGCTCCAAGGTCTACCACAGATAAACTTGATTTCTGTGGATAAGTCTGTGGTAATTAATAGAGATTCATTTGACTAATTGATCAACACATAATTCATTCAATTAAAATGTCAAATCATCGGGCAGCCCTAAATGTTCACCACCAGCCATGTATTTCTCTTCTGTTTTCTACTTTTAACTCCCAAGCTTATAATGTATATTATTGCCTATGTTAAGTATTTCTTTTCTTCTTTTTTTTCTTAAATCAGATTTCAGATGACTTCTCAGATTAGCACCAAAAAACAACAACTTTTAGACATATCTTTCCAGTGATAGTGGGAACTCCTAAGGTAAAGCTTTGTTTCTATCTCAAACAGTATCTCCAGCTGTGTATGAAATAGAGAGACTGAAAGCACTACTAGAGGCTGAGAGAAGCAAAGGTGACTTGATGGGTGAAACCATCAGCAGCCTGAAACAAGACAAAGAGCTTCTGCAACAGGAACTCACTAAGAAGGCTGAGCTCATCTGTGACTTCCTGCAAGAACAACTACGCCCAGGTGACTATTCCTGACAATCTGTATATGAAATGAAGGGAGGCATGGAGATCAGAATGTAGGTTGTGATTTGGATAAGAACGGTCTTGTTTTCTCTGACTGGCAGATAAAAGAAGGACACTTTCGTCAAGTCAAATGGAGGCATGCAGCTCGCATCAGATAATCACCTCCATTCCTGAAGAGGGCGCTCCGCTTGACTCTCCAGCCCTCTTCGACTCCTTTGAGGAAGTGGAGTTGCTCCCACGGGACAGGCAGAGGACCATCAAAATTTCATCAAAGAGAACCAGAGATGGCGAGAACACACGTGTCCGAAGTAAGAAAAGGATTTGGGTCCAAAGTTGACCTAAAATTTTACTTTAACTTAGACACCTAGAGCCTGGGTTCTGCACTCTGGCCCTCTAGATCCACTTTCCAGCAAACCAAACACACCTTAACAAGCTAACCTATCTCTGATGGATTACCAGGCTGCGTTTAACACCATTTTTAGTCACACTCACAAACTTCTTTTAGCACTTCCCCACCACCATTTTGAAGTACGTTCGACTTTGTTAAGTGGGCTAGGGAAGTTTATTTGGACAGACCCTCGACCCCTCCATTTAGACAGAGGGAGCAAGTCTACTCAACATGTACACTTCAGGTAGATCCATAGACCACAATGCACCATGAGTGTTACGTCACAGCAGGTCAGGCTTAATTTACCCCACCCCACTCAACTCTTGTGTATGATGTCGCATAATACTTGTAGCTACCTTAAGCGGACTATTATAGTTTATTCTATTGTTATCATTTTTGCTTGTGTAGTTTACTATATTTTCTCCAACAGCCAAAGTATACATACAGGCCTATAGAATGGTGCGTAAAACAAATTCCTAAGGAAAAAACCTGAAAATAATAAATCAGCTTCATAACGGATTCCAGTGATCAAGGGTTTAGGGCTCTCCATTTAAATACATTGCAAGGGTTCTGCCAGTAGTGGGCACTTGTGCAACGTAAGCAATGATGTACATCCGAGTGAACAAGACGAAGGTAAGTTAGTGAGGGAAAGGCGTAAAAAAGTGGACATAAACTCAGCCCTAGAAAGTTATAGGGAGATGAGTTTGATGGAGGTTAAAGGTAAACCCTTCAGGAAAGTGGATCTTGGGGGCTTGAGTTCAGAAGTGGTCTAGATAATGAATAATGATGCCAGATTTTGATTGTCATTCAAGTAAAATTTTGTTTCACTAAAGAATGATGTTACTATTTTTCAGTGAAAAACGTTGTGGGCGTGATTGCTCGATATATGGCTGCACTGCAAGAGTTTCGACGTTGTGTGTCCATGAAAGTGGCTTTTGAGAGAGTCGGAGTAGACCGTAATACCATTTCCAGGACAGCTGCCATTGCTGAACTCAGCTTGGCGGCCCCTGAAGTCTTCCACGCTCTGCCTCCATGGGATGAGAAGGAGGAAACGTTGGCCCACTATGCAGTCAGATGCCGACAGGCCATGGATGACAGTATCAAAGCCAAGATTAAAAGTATGAAAGTAAAGGGGGAACTTCTACCAATTGTCAGCAAATAATAATAAAAAAAATACATTTACCTTATCTGATTTACAATGGACATGAGGACCACTCTGAGGGAACACTTTGGATTTCACAATCACATTTTGGCCTTGTTCTTCTTTTTTCCTCTTTTGCCATGATCAGTCACAAAGTGAGCTATTTATGCTAGCACACTTGTTTAAAACGTTCAATCGGTTGTTGTACTTGTTCTTGGCCAATTTAAATGAAATAATATTAGATAATTGTTTAGATAATTTTTTTGTATGCCTTGTATTAGTATCAGATTGACTGACCAATATTTAGTTCAGTGTTAAACATTAGGTAAATAATGATAATAATCATTTTATAACTGCATGCTTACTTCCATCACAAACTACAGTGTATGTTTGTACTTTCTGACACGACACCTCTTCCTTTGGATAAAAGCGTCAGTTAAATGAATAAATGTAAATGTAGACTGTGAAATATAAGCTATCTTACACTGCATTGTATGATCTGGTGGGTTCAATGGCTGTTATTGTGAATAATAAATGGAAAATCTCAACCTAAAACCCCTTTTGCCTGGTTTATTTTTGTTGGAAAAATGATTTCACCATTATGATGATAAGCGAAAACTCAAAAAGCAATACAATCAATATAGAATCTGGGATTAGAAATATTTCCTAAAGATTGGACAGTATCTGAGCAGATTTGTTGTTTGCTATAAATAAAGGAGATCATATTTCATATGGTACAAATTAGCGTTGTCAAAAGTACCGACTTTGGTACCCAGTGAAATATAAAAATGTGCATATACCAGCATTTCCCTCTAGCATTTTAAGCGATGTTTAACAGATTCTTAAACACCTCTGATAGGCAATTGTGTTCACGAGCTCAACATACATATCTGTGATTGGCTACAATGATCAACATCTTCACTGAGCGCTTGAAAGCAGGCTTCAATCAGTGGATATATTAGGGATCTGCTGATAGATGCCTGCTTTCAAACGTTGTGTATCTGTGTAAATGCTTGGATTTGGACTAGTCAAGGCAGGAGAGATAGAACTGTCCAGGGGTGCCTTTCCCAAAAGCATCGTAAGCTTAAGTTGATCGTAGACACCATTGGTGGCAATTGTTCTACGATCAACTTAAGCTTACGATGCTTTTGGGAAACCCAGCCCAGTCCATTTAATGGATTGTACGGTGAAAATCTTCAAAACTTCAAAAGCCTTCAAAAACCTGGCCTTCAAAAATCCATTGGAAAAAATCTCTGGACAACACCTTAGACCAGTATTGGTCTATCCAGTAATGGTAACTCACTAGTAACTGTATGTGTATCCCTCACAGAGAGACAGAAATACATTTCCATTCATGTCAAGTATATCACACCTCTTTAGCCCAAGGTCCACTGGGTAATTGTTTTCAACGCAATAAAGTTCTTGACATATGAAAACACTACCTTCTTCCCTTTCAGCAGAGATGGATGAGAGAGCATACCGAGAACAGAACGAGAAGACCATTCGCAGCACCCAAACAGCTCTTCGCAACTTTCGGGACTTCCTGGTTTCTAAGTATCCAACCGAGACCAGAGAGATATACTTCATCCCCTGCCATGAGTTGGACATCTACTTGGCCTCCTTCTTTGTAGATGCTCGCCAAAGGGATGGCTCGGAATATGAGCCCAACAGCCTGGCCAACTATCAGTGTGGCCTGGAACGCTATCTGAAGGAGCATCGCTACGCCTACAGCATTACAAGAGACCGGGAGTTTCAGAGATCCCAAGATGCCCTCAAGCAAAAGCAGTTGGAGCTCAAGTTCAAAGGGAAAGGCAACAAACCCCACAAGTCAATGAAGCTGACCCTTGCTGACGAATTGCTCCTAAGGAAACGGGGTCTCCTGAGTCGCTTCAACCCTGAGGGTCTACTCAACCTGGTGTGGCTCAACAACACCAAGGCTTTTGGCCACTGCACAGGTTTCCACAGCTCCACTCTCAAATGGGGCGATGTGCGCTTGCTCACCACAGAAACAGGACTAGAGTGTCTGGAGTGGACCTACCAGGATTTTAGTGACCCAAATGCCAGAAACAGAAGGTCCACGACCGAGTTTCGCATCTACGCTACCCCGCACGCTCCTCAAACCTGCCCGGTGCAGGACTACAAGGACTTCGCTCAGCGCAGACCTCAAGCAATGCTCTTTGAAGATGCCCCCTTTTATCTGTCCATCAAGCCTGTGGTCAACCTGGCCGCCCTGCACTGGTACAACTGCCAAGCTCTGGGAAAGAACAAATTAGCAAAGATGGTGAAGACCATGTGTGAGAAAGGCAACATTCCAGGAAGAAAGACCAATTTCAGCGTTTACCAGAGTTGCAGCTCCTTGTCCGAGGCCCAAAGCAATCAGCTCGTTCTGATCTGTAATGACCTTAGGCAACAAGCCGCCCAGTCAGGGAGTTCCCATCCCGGCAGCACCAACTTTGTCATTGCTGGTTCTTTTGACTCTACTGACTCTGCTTAAAGCTGAAGAGTCATTTTTTGAGCCACTGTTTTCAAACACTCCCGTCTTCCATTTTTTTTGGACAAAGAGTTGTTCCTACCAGTAGCACCTCATTGTAGTACACGAGATCCAGGGGGCGGAGTTGGATCCAGATTTAAGCGGTGGAGAGATGGGTAGAATGAGGGGTGGGGTTAGGGATCAGGGAGTGGAGATGGGTAGGATTAGGGATCAGGGGCAGAGATGGGTAGGTTTAGGTATATGGAAATCTGAATCCAACTACTCCCCTTGGATTTCGTGTTCTGCAATGAGAGCCATCTCGTTCCTACTCCAAATGCACTGCATTCATTGAGTAAGAAGCTGATGTGTTAGATTGCTCAAACTAAGGAGTCAATGATTGGACGGTTCAGTTAGCCCCTGCTGACAGGTGTCTACACCAGGGGTTGCCAATCTTTTCTTAATGAAGTGCCATTCATTTTTTTTTTAAGATTAGCTGTGTATTCTGATACCTTGCCTTTTTTTGAAGGTTTCTTCAAAGCCTCAAATGGACTCTTGTTTGCCCCCTTCCGCTGCCTTTGGGTCACAGCTCAGGATAGTTGCTTGTGGTTCCATCAGCCAGTCAGTGTTATTTAACAGTGTTATATACAAAGTCTTAAATGTTGTTTCTGTCAATGTGTATGAGACTATGTATAAAGTTGTCTTTTTGTCATGATTATATTGTAAAAACAGCTGTCTTACCATGTGCAATGCAAAATATTCATTATCCAGTGTTAAGTCAACTACATTACAAAGGCATTCGGATGCCAATTTTCATGTCTTTACTGTGTATGCCAACAGTTACGAGTTTGACGATGAATTTAAAAAGTCAGTTCAATTATTCCGTACATGTCGTAGACACATGAATGTAGTGGAACTAATTCTGCTATCCTTCATTTATTCCTGTCTTGGAAATGTTCTGTTTGTGTAGCTGTTATCTTAAATAGAAAGCACTTATCAGATGTTACATTATTGGATACTGTATGTGTTAGATATAGCCTGATCAACATATGTGCCTGATATAATATTATTTATTCTTTAACATACACAACAATGACTATTTTACAAATTAAGGTGTTTGAGGCATGAAAGAAATCCGCTGAGATACAAATATACTGCCACGAATAAAGCAACCCTGTAAAATAAGTAGTCATATTTTTTCATACTTTTTTTTTCCTGGTTTTTATCTCACGTCTCAGATTTAGTTTTTAAAGTCACCACGAAAATCAAAATGCACAATTCTTATTATCTTTACATATATTTTTTACTCATGTGCCTCATTCATTTTAAGATCCCCTTCCTCTAGCAGTGACATCTCTCATGAGGACGGAGTAACCGGTCACACAAATGAGTTCGAATAGCAAACCAAAACCATCAAATCATTTCCCAATGGACAAGATCAAGCCGCGCCCAACATTTGTTCTTGTTTGAGAAGCTGTCATTCTCTGATATACATGACAATAGGAAAAACATTATTACATTATTAAAAATGACAAGACAGTAATAGTTAACTTTTCTCCATTTTATGTAAATTCATGAAAAAAAATAGACCACCACACAATAAAAAAAATTCATGAAAAATGAAAGTCATCTAGCAAGTCCATGTCAGAGTAGCATATTTGATCAAAACTGATCAAGACTCCGGCTCGAGTCTTGGTAAAACAGGCAGTATGAGGTTACCAAAGGAGGAATCCTGAGTGATGAAGAAGCCTGACGAGTGTGCATGTGCGTGCTGAAACCAAACCAGAGATAAATACTGATCTGATGGGACATTATCAATAATAAAAAAAATATTGAAGCTCTAAACATGAAGCTTACGGTACCTGTAAAGCTGCTTTCTGCTGTGCTGCAATGTGCTGCTGTTCGGCCTGATCCCTGAACTCTTTATTTACTGCTGGTCTAGAGAGTGGAATGCTGGGAAAACACATTATATTTCATAAGTTATGTGAATAACTTGTATAGACCTTCTGAGAATGGAAAAAAAAAGATGAAACAGTACCTGGCTCCTGGATTGTTCATTGACTGACTCTGGATCAGGCGTTTCTTCTCCTTATCCAGCTCGGCTAAAATAGCAACCCTGTTTTTGTTTTGAAATCCTATCAAGAACAGATATGCAGATACAGTTAATTTAAAGCAAACAAACACATATTACATTCTGTAGGCCTATTTGAAGCCATTCTTATATTAAAACTGAGTACCTTAAAAAATTACCTTAAAATTAATACCTTAAATTTGTTGTAATCATTGAGTTACTTTGAAAATTATTTAAACAGTAACTTACAGAATGTTATATCCACCTAGCTTAATATCAGAAATGACAGTAACTACAACTGTTTACGACAGCTGATATACAACACCAATTACCTTGTCCGGGCGGATTTGCGGCCATTTCCACATGTGCTCTATATCTAAATATTAAACAAAAGAAACAACTTCTAAAATACCGAGTAAAATCAATAATTAGAACCTAAATCGGATGGTCTCCTCTGATAAATAAAGCACTTTCTTCTCCGGTAAGTGCTCGTCGCATCACAACTGTGTCCGTGTGAACAGCGCCATCTGGAGTATCGGAGCAACTTCACGTTTGAACCACTGGGTGGGTTTAAACCACAGTCTATGGTTTAAACGCTGTATTTAGTCGATTTACATTGTAAATGTAAGTAAATAGAAATGTGACCTACGTCTATCACAGAAATTTCAGAGCAGATGCTAGTTCCTATTACATAAACACTTAAGGGGAACACAATTTGGGATTTTTTTCTTAAGAAATTAAATGATGGTCTCTTTTCTTTCTTAATTATTTCATGCATAAAGGTCACTAAAAAGGACAACCATTAAAAAGCATCTTCTTGCATTTGCACTGCAGAACACGAAATCCAGGGGGAGGAGTTGGATCCAGATCCAACTAACATAACGTGATCCAAGTAACGTCCATTACGTAATCAGATTACTTTTAATGTTACGAGTAAATGCATTACAAGTCACATATGTAATCACATTACTTTTTTGATGTCACCAGATTGTAATAACACAAATATATTTATTTACAGTCAAAAGAAGTTAAAAAAAAATCAAAGAAAAATCAAAGATAAATCCAACTAGAATGAAGTTCAACTGCCTTTGTAATATTTCGCATTTCTATATTTTTTGTATATGTTTATTTTATATTGTGTGCATGATTTTATTTCATTTTATTGATTAGTTTGTTAAATACACAGTTTTGCTGTTATTAGTCTCTCTTCACTTTAAACCATAAATGTATGCTGTCCACTCAAGTGGACATCTGAAAATCTCTGAGAAATATGTAAAAAAACAAAACAAAAAAAAAACATTTCAAATCTTATTTTTAATGCCAAGAGCAATACAAAAATTACTGAGGTTATCATAATTCATGCGTGAAAGGGTTAAAGTCACAACAAAATCAAAATCGACTTAATTCAATGGAATATGGCTACTGCAGTATTTATTATAAATGATTTATGCGTGCACATGATATTAATTTTTAAGGAATGTGTTCTCGTATTCTTTAATCAAAATCCCCTCTCTTTTGCAGCGTCTCTTCTCTGACAATGTGCTCAATGGCAAGAGGGCGGGGCAACCTGTCACTCACATGAGATCCACCAATAGCAAACCAGAACCATCCAATCATCTGAATTAAAATCTAAACGTAGGCATCTAGTCCCACTTTGGTAAAAAAAAATTAATTATAACTATCTTGTGGCCACAAGATAGTAACTCGTAGCCTCAAGATAGTAACTCGTGGCCTCAAGATACTAACTCGTGGCCACAAGATAGTAACTCGTGGCCTCAAGATAGTAACTCGTAGCCTCAAGATAGTAACTCGTGGCCACAAGATAGTAACTCGTGGCCTCAAGATAGTAACTCGTGGCCTCAAGATACTAACTCGTGGCACAAGATAGTAACTCGTGGCCTCAAGATAGTAACTCGTAGCCTCAAGATAGTAACTCGTGGCCTCAAGATACTAACTCGTGGCCACAAGATAGTAACTCGTGGCCTCAATAGTAACTACAAGATAGTAACTCGTGGCCACAAGATAGTAACTCGTGGCCTCAAGATAGTAACTCGTGGCCTCAAGATAGTAACTCGTGGCCACAAGATAGTAACTCGTGGCCTCAAGATAGTAACTCGTGGCCTCAAGATACTAACTCGTGGCCACAAGATAGTAACTCGTGGCCTCAAGATAGTAACTCGTAGCCTCAAGATAGTAACTCGTGGCCTCAAGATACTAACTCGTGGCCACAAGATAGTAACTCGTGGCCTCAAGATAGTAACTCGTGGCCACAAGATAGTAACTCGTGGCCACAAGATAGTAACTCGTGGCCTCAAGATAGTAACTCGTGGCCTCAAGATAGTAACTCGTGGCCACAAGATAGTAACTCGTGGCCACAAGATAGTAACTCGTGGCCACAAGATAGTAACTCGTGGCCTCAAGATAGTAACTCGTGGCCTCAAGATAGTAACTCGTGGCCACAAGATAGTAACTCGTGGCCTCAAGATAGTAACTCGTGGCCACAAGATACTAACTCGTGGCCACAAGATAGTAACTCGTGGCCACAAGATAGTAACTCGTGGCCTCAAGATAGTAACTCGTGGCCTCAAGATAGTAACTCGTGGCCTCAAGATAGTAACTCGTGGCCTCAAGATAGTAACTCGTGGCCTCAAGATAGTAACTCGTGGCCTCAAGATAGTAACTCGTGGCCTCAAGATAGTAACTCGTGGCCTCAAGATACTAACTCGTGGCCACAAGATACTAACTCATGGCCTCAAGATAGTAACTCGTGTATCTTGAGGCCACGAGTTACTATCTTGTGGCCACGAGTTAGTATCTTGAGGCCACGAGTTACTATCTTGAGGCCACAAGATAGTTATAATTAATTTTTTTTACCAAAGTGGGACTAGAGGGGCTCCGTATAAACGTATTCTTGATGGGGAAGCCGTTTCACTCAGATATGCCACAACCAGACAGAACTTCTGCTTCATGGCGACGCTTCATTTCAAAAGTCAGTATACATTGAAAATGTAAGAAAAAATAACTAAAGGGAATGTGACTATCAGAAACATCACAGTAAAGGAAAATAGTTAGTTAAATAATAAATATTAAAAATGTAACTTTTCTGATGCAAATATGACTAAATTATGCATTATTTTGAAAATATTTTATTGAAATTCAATTGGTTAACTTATCATTAGTCTTTTAATGAGTATAACAATGCACTGAAAATAAACTTTCTAATGTATCTTCAGAGGGATTTTAATCCTGACTGATACACTGTGTTATAATCATGTGGACAAACAGAAAAGATTAGAATTGTGGCAAAACTCGAACACAACACCTGCCTTTGTGCACCTCACCAAATGGAAATCAAACAGGAAAACATTTACACATTAGTGAAGGGTTTACTTTATAAAGAAAAAAAATGGCCATTTTCAGAAAAAGGTAAAAAGGAGCACTAATGTTCAATTTACATTTATATACAAGATAACATTAACTGGCTACATACAAAGATACAGTGCACCCATTGTTCATCTTTTTTGACCAAAGTACAACCTGAAAATCATTTGCATCTGTCAAAAATATATAGGAGGAAGGGTCTGGAATAAATGATATGATGTTTATCACTATAAAATCCAATCAAAGATGTCCAATAATCAACTGAAACTGGAAAGGTGAAAAAGTTTTGGATGGCACAGGTGAGGAACCCTTTTTAGACTTGGCAATGCCAGCAGAACCGTTATATATGTTGTGGGCATATGCATTATTTGTAAGACCAAAGAGGCTCTATCCAATACAGCTGTTGAAAGATTTGAATGTAATAATGTGATTCAGAAGCAGTTTAGCAGAGTCGCTTATTAAATCGCTTGAAGTCATGCATCTAAACAAACGCACAGATATTTACATGAAAAGCCCTGAGAGGTGGTTATTAAGGCATAAGGTGTAGAAGCGGACACTTATTAAACCGCTTGCACAAACGCACTGAACCAGCTGTTTAGCAGTGAAATATAAATACATGTGCTGTGAAATGAATGGATTAGATCAGAGACCTTCAGCTATAACACTTTAAAGAAGCAAATGGCTTCATGACAGTGTGACGGTCAGTTTAGTGATGAAAATAAAAGTTGCATTCAACAAGCATAAATGAGTCTGGCCAAGATATGAATAGTTACCATGTTCATTCATAGTTCTAGCCATCTGGTATTACAAATAAAATGGAGTAAAAGCAGATTAAAAACTGTTTATGGCAGATTACACACAGCCGATTTTGCATTATTCTTCTAGGGTGATGCGTTTAGGAAAGTAAGACTTCTGCGAAGGAGAGTAGTTTTGTGAGAAGGCACTATGTAGAATGAAACACCTGTGCCAAACAAATCACGGCTTAAGCCAAACCTAGACATGATCAACTTTGAGTTTCTGTTACTGCCTTCAAGAAGAAATTGCAGAAATTGCAATTCACTTTGACCACATTATGCCACAAAGAGAACATGTTCACATCATATTTCACCCCAAAATCAAATGATAAAAAGGGTACTTTTTTTAAAATGGTGTATATATATATATATATATATATATACCCATTTTTAGGGCCATAAAGATTATATATAATAATTTGCACTAAAAAAAATTACTTACAGTAATCAGAGATAAGATCAATATAATCATGGATGATTATCTTTATATACCATGGATTTTGTTTTATACAAGCAAAGAAAATTTCATTGATTCTCATTACTATTAAATTAATTTTGTTACTAAAATGAAAAAGAAATCTGTACATCATAACAATGAACATCACTACTTGTAATGGTTATTTTAGATATTTTCATCACTGCTAAATAATTACAATCATTACTGCTAAGCAATTGTACATTAATGAGAACAAGAGTTTCTTTTTAGCATACACAATTATCTTAAATTGTTTATAAAAATTGTTTGCAAACAAAAAACTCATTTTAATTAACATTACAAAAAACAAACAAACTGTAACTGTAGATAATTACACTAATGAGTAAATAATAATTCTCATTTTATGCATAATGATAATGGGGGGGGGGGGGGGGTTCCTTCAATAACGAAATATTCATTTCATTTTGGGATGTAATAAAATAGACTGGACATGTTCTTCATAAAGCATTTCAGCGACTCCATGTGTCGACTTCATGTATGCAAAGGTCTGGTTTAATTAAACCCTGACAAAGCTCATTAACTAGCAAATGCCAAAAAAATAAACAAAAACAAACCTAGAGAAAACAATTCCCACAATCATTCAGGAGGTTCTTAATATACCTGTAAACTGAGATGAAGAAGCATATTCAAACAATCTTTAAGACTGATTATTATTTAGCGGATCGTTTTTCTCATTAGTAAAGATTTCAATCTAATCTTATCCAATATATAATGGCTGAAAAGCACTTTCAGGATACAGGATCTCTGTACCGCTTCATGCTCTGCTTCAGGCTTGTCCGGTCCGGGATGGAGTACGGTGCGTATTCTTGGAACGAGGAAGAAGGAACCCGATTCTGCTCAAGGAACAAAAATCTGCTGCAAGCAAATAAATATATTGAAGCTACAGTACAGGCTACTTACTGTATACAAGTCATGATCAGACGGCTAATGACATGTGCAGGGAAGTTCCTTCCGCATCCGGACGTATACCGAGGTTATTAGCAGTAAGAAAAAAAAAGGGCGTTCTGACGACTCTGAATGGTAATATGAAAATCCAGTTTTAAAAGACAAACAAATAGCATGATTACACATTTAAAAGTGGAAAATGTTGCCAAACAAAAACAAAACTACCTTAAAATTGTATCGATTGTTCTAAAATAAATCCCCTTCCAGGAAAGCAAACAGTGCAAGTCCTCTTGCAGGGGCTACACTCGAGTACTGTAGTCCTCCTACTGAATATAGTGTGCCCTCCGGCTCGACGGACACACATTACATCTGCTGTGTCAGAGGCCAATGGGAAGTTCTGCTTGGTCTCTCTTCATTGGAAGCCCCGTGAGTCCATATGAGGGGCGGGCAGAAGTGCCCTCTGTGGACCGCCACTCTGGGTTGGGCAGCGCACCGGGCTGTGGGACCCAAGCGGGCGGGTTGAAGGGTTCTGTCATGGCTTTGCCAGGCTCAGGTCTAGCAGTTGATGGGACAGTCCGTCTTGGCTTTGCCAGCAAAACTGATGATTCTCCTGAGGCAGCGCCCGAACTCCTCCAGGATGAGGCGCTCTGCCACGGCCTGAGGCTGGTTGGCCAGCTCCGCCTGCTCCGCTTGCTCCAGCAAACAGTCACACGTCGCCTCCGCCACGTCCTTTGTTACGAATGTGTACGGCAACCTAGAGAGAAATTCATCAACATTTGAATTATTAAAGGAAGACCATTTTCTAACACTAAAAAAAGCACAAAGGGTGTTTTGTTAAAGTGTTCCAGGAAGTTTCTAGACAGCTGCTAGAACATTGCCATGGCATTTCTGTTCAAAAACAGTAAATACACATTTATAACAATATACTTTGTGTTATATTACATTGGCAGTAAATAACAAAAACAAATGAGGGTGTCTAATACAACAGATAAATCTTTCTAGATGTTAGCTGAGTGATTGCTATAGGGATAGTTCACCCAAAACGGAAAATTCTGTCATTAATTACTCACCCGTAAGACATTTGTCGTCAAGATTTTATTTATGAAATTAGAGCTATGACACTTTAAACATTCATATAGAGATCATTGGCACAGTCCAAGTTTCTGAAAAGACTGGATTAGCTTTATATGATAAACATGATAGACTTATTCATACAAACATTGATCAGTGAACATAATGAACCTGGTGAACATGATTGAGGTTCTGTTTACCAGAACTGATTTGCGAGTTGATCAATGTTTATGTGAATAAAAACCTAAATTCAACCTGTTTGAAGTGAACCATTATATAAAGTGATTGTTTCTCTTCAGAAAATCCTTTTGGATTACTTTTGGAAAATTCATATGGATTAGTTTTAAGATCTCTATATGAACTTTTTGAAGCATCAAAGTGGTAGTTGCGTAGCTGTCAATGGAGGGACAGAAAGATCTCAGATTTCATCAAAAATATCTTATGAACAATATGGGGGGGGGGGGGGGGTAATAATTAATGACAACATTTTCATTTTTGGTTGAACTATCCCTTTAAGAAGCTCTGGATGGTTGTTGCTCAGGCACTGCTAGGGAGTTGCTAGATGTTTGTATTGTAAGTGTTCTGTATTGTTGCTAAGGTGTGGGATTTATGGATGGCTGGACAGATTTAAATGACAATCCAAAAGGTATTGTGGTAATAAAGAGCTGACAAATTAAAGGCACAGTATGCAAGTTTAACCTCCAGGTCAATTATTCAAAACAATAACAAAGGCGTAGCTTTATGACGCTAATAAGTGTGGAATCATGGGAGTTGTCATCTTCACCTCCACAGATGATGGAGAGCAATCCGACAAGACAAAAGGCTGAACTCTTGTTCATGGATGAGCTAATGTATAAAAGTTTTATTAGGGTTACTGTGGTATGAAGCAGAGCGTGGAAGCCGTGGGAGCGAATGCTAATGAGAGACAGATACCAGCGCGGCACACCGGTCTTCAGTCCGATGGCATCCGGAGCTTTTATTTTGCTTAAATGCCACAGTCGGCTTGATGTGAAAACCGGCCAATTCTGGTCACCAGCCATACATATACAGTAAAACTTCAAATAATATTCCGGGCTTTTATTATCAAAAACCCGACCTTTTTTTACTATCGTGTCAATTGATTTTGCTTAATATGTGCGAGGGGGAGAGAGAGGGGGAGAGAGAGAGAGAGCAAGACAGCACTTGTATTGTTTGAAGACGTGAGGGCGGGTGCGGTTGGGGCGCCTGATCAAAAAAGGCTTTGGCAGGATAAAAATATGCTTTGGCGGCCACCAAAAAGTGGACGATCTGACGGGTTTTAGAAGATTAAATACCAACTGAAACTAAAAAAACAGACCCGGCGTCTATTTGAGACTGGCCTTTATTTACCCAAACCTGCAGCCACACCAGGCATGTAAAAGAGACAGACGTCTATTTAGGACTTGGCTATTAACTGAATGTTTACAGTATAAAGCATGTTTATAGTTTCTACTGAAGTAAAGCTGGAAATCGAGGATATGACATCATTGACAGGCGATGCAATGACACTGGCCATTAAGAAGGGTTAAAATTATGTATTTCTCTGGATTTAAACATTGTTGGAAACATCTGGGATAATGCAAGAACACAAGTCAACAAAATATACATTTTTTTTCTAGTGGTTTTTAGATATTTTAATCCAAAAATTATTGTTCCTATTGCGCCTTTAAAGGAAAGACTTACTTCCCGCCTCCACTGGTGAGGGCTGGTGTGGTTCTGGTGAGCAGATCTGAGATCTGTGAGGACAGTTTGGTTTTGGCTGCCGTTTGCTGCTGGACCCGCACCTCTGCAGCGTCGGCCAAGTGCATCAGCGTCTTCCTCTCAGGACTCTCCTCAAAGTTCTTGCAGCCCATACATTTGCAGATGGACGAACACATGATCTTTGCCTAATGCGAACAGACATCAGAACAATATCATCACAACTGACGAACCATTCTTCCACAAGAGCTTGGGAACCACTACCCTTTGACCTGTGAAAACACTCACCTCATAACACTCGCAGTAGTTTTTCAGACAGCCAGATTTCTTACAATTGCAGCCTTTGCTGTGTCTCCTGTCCGACTCTCCTTGTTTGCCTTTACCGATCTTGGGTTTGAAAGCCACAGGGTTTCTGTCTAAACACGCCTGGGAAAAAAAAAAACACATTACTTCTTACTTCATCTGATACCTATGCACTTCAAAGCATTACAGCAAAACTGCCCTGATCAGCGAGACAAACAACATGTCAACGGCAATGATGTGCTATTGCAAAGATGTGTTGGGAAGTTAAATTGCAAATAGCAAGTCTGGTAAGTCTCTGATAGTCTAAACTAAAATAAATAAATAAAGGCACATTTTAAGTGTTTGTAGGCAGATGGAAAATAACGACAAGTTGAAAAAAAGCCAATGTAGATCTATAGGAATGCAGCAATTCGTTACCTTGATGGCCTTCAGTCTTTCACTCTCATGATCAAGGTTGTTGAAGCAGTTCACACAGTTACAGTTATTGCAGAACTCACCATTGGCAAAGCAATCACAATACCTGTGAGACAAGAGACATAGAACTCTTACAGATTAAATGCAAATTACAACTCATTGAAATAAATAAATAAATTCAGCTGCCCAAGAGATATGCTACAGTTCAAAAGTTTGAGAAAGGTAAAGTCTCTTTTCACCAAGCCTGCATTGATTTGATCGAAAATACAGTACAAACAGAAATATTGTGAATAAGGATGCACCTAAAGGAATTATTTTGGCCAATACCGATTTTAACAAACAACTATTGGCCGATACTGATATTTGTTAGACGCTCACTTATTTGAACTTTGTCATTAAAATTACTGTTTTAATTGTCATTACAGTTTTGATCATGTTTTAAATCAGCAAAGTAAAAAAAAAAAACACATGCATTAAGGTATCCTAGTAGCTAGTTTATTGCTCATTAAATCACTTTCTTTAAACTTGGATTGAATCCATTAAACAGGCTAACATTATAAGAGAAGAGAGGCATAAATTAATAAAGACGTCAACCTTCTGAGGTTATTTTTGCTATGAAATATTTCTTAACATTAACATATTTGACTTTATTATACAACTTTACATATTTCTTTAATAAATAGAAACTCAGTGCATTTACGCAGTTACATAATATTTTATATTATATATTACCTAATATTGGTTTGTTAAATCGGCCGATACATTGGTGCATCTCTAATTATGAAATATGATTAATTTAAAATGGATGTTTTCTATGCGTGTGTATATATGTGAATATACTTGTATATATGAACTTAAATGTGAAATTACTGAACTTAAATATGCAAGCTTGATAAAAATTATCATTCTAGAAGAAAATTTCAAATTGCACTTAGAGGCTTTTGCATCTGAACTCTTCATATATATATATATATATAGCTGAATTTTCTTCAGTGTCACATGCCATTTGCCTCATCATTTAAAAATAACTAATTTAAAATAGAAATATTTTGTATTATTATAAATGTCTTTACTGCTACTTCGGATCAATTAAATGTATCATTGCTTAATAAAAGTATTAATTTCTTTTAAAAAAATACAATTCTTACTGACCCCAAACTTTTGAACGGTAGTAAATGAAATGCTACAGGCAAAGCTTGAAAAAATTATTCATGTCAATATTGATACTGCTTGACAGGTAGCAATAAAATGTAAAATTATATTTGCACCTCTGATAATCCCCTTCATGTCTGTCAGAATTAACAGTCCTTGCTGGTGAATTTGACAGTATGAGAACTGAATTACAGGTTGTTAAAAGGAAGGAAGCTGTTGCAAAAATCACACAATTGGATTTGGAAACTATGAAAGCCCTTGCCAAACATAGCAGCTCACACAGATTACACCTTATATGGGCCATTTTCAGAGAAAGTAAACAAATGCCGGGGAACATACAATTTCAGACACTGTGACCGTGTGCAGTTGCAGGGTTTCCTCGGCCTTGAGGTTGCTTCTGACGTTGATAAACTGTAATAAAGCAGAATGTAACCTGGGATTTAGTGAAATCTTTTGTTTGATGCAACTGATATGCATGTAACAGCGAAGCATGTGGCGCTCGGCTCACCCGTTGAGTGAAAGCCTGGCTTGAGTCTGTATGGGAGTGGCTGTTGAGAAGGTGGAGCTGCTGGTCAAAGTCACAAACGCAGGCTGGGGGATCTATGGGAACAAGCAAAGTGAGAGAGTGTGCAACAAAAACAAGCAACCTAACTCATCCGTCCTGCTCCAGCACTGACATACGGACCTGCGCAACGTATGGGGCCGGCAACACAGCGTAGCCCATGTTTCCAGAGCCGTGGGCGGGCGCGAGCACAGTGCCTGGCGGCAGGTTGGTGAGGTTGGGCTGGATCTGTGGCAGATGAGTGGCTGGCATGATGAGACGCTGGGGGGTCTGACTGGTTGTCACCACCTGAGCTGCTGACGTCAAGGGTTTGGGTACAACCTGTGCACAAACAATAAAAATGTATATAGATCAAAAGCTGCACGGCCATCTGTAAGAATGGTGTCATTGTGTGCAGAACTGCTGTGAGAGGAAACTAGGCGTTTCACTGTATACCTGTTTGACGGTCTGTGCCGAGACGATGGGTACAGACATCCGTACCGCAGTGTTCATCATCACAGACTTGGCTTTGCAAACAAGACAAAAGTAACTAAATGTTATTCGATTTTCTTAAATTCCCATATTCATATACAATCATAGCATTAAAATCATTCTTAAAAATGGATCGCTGCAGTGCACCCACTATAACACAAATATTGCATGGCATTGGCAAGATAGCAGGATATTGAAGGACCACTCCCTAAAACAATATTTAACTGAATATTATTTAAGACAGTCACAGAGGTACAGTTGAAAAAAAAAAAAGAATCTATATCACAAAACAATATAGTCCGCTTACAGGATGACTCATGAGCCCATTTCTTTGTTGAATAAAAAAAAAAAATACAGTGTGATCAATGAAGTCTAATTCCTGAACATCAGTGAAACTAACAGCTATAAGTAACCCTGAGACTTTAAGTTATTGATATGCTCACCGTTTATATTCAAAGTGTACTGCACATGATCCATTTTGACTATTTCACAAAAATAAATAAAATGTTACAATTTTGTATTTAAATAATAATAATAATAATAACTTAATATTTATATAGCGTCTTTCACAATACCCAATGACGCTTTACACATTAACAGCAAAGAAAGGCTATTATGCCCCTTTTTACAAGATGCAATATAAAAGTCTCAGTGTTCCCTGAATGTATCTGTAAGTTTCAGCTCAAAATACCCCACAGATCATTTATTATACCATGTTGTAAATGTCCATTTTTGAATTTTGGATTATAGGTCCCCTTTAAAGGGGTAGTTCACTTTTTTAAAAAATGTCATCCAAGATGTCCATGTCTTTCTTTCTTCAGTCGAAAAGAAATTAAGTTTTTTGATGAAAACATTCCAGGATTTTTCTCCATATAATGGACTTTACTGGGCACCAAATTGTTTAAGGTCCAAAAGACAGTTTTAGTGCAAACTGTTCAAAGGGCTTTAAACGATTCCAGACGATGAATAAGGGTCTTATCAAGCGAAACGATAGGTCATTTAAAAAAAAAAAAGTTTAAGTTTAAGCACAAACGCTTGTCTTGTTCTGTTCTGTGATGCGCATTTGTGACTCTCCAGTTCATCAAAATGAACAAATCTTTTTCCGAGTCAATTCATTCATTTTGTTCGTTGAATGAACCAAATGACTCGAAAAAAGATTCGTTAATTTTGATGAACGAGTTCGAACAGGAGAGTCACGAACGTGCATCACAGAACAGAGCAAGGCAACCATTTGAGCTTAAAAAACTTAAACTTTGTTTATTTTATTTTTTTAAATGACTGATCGTTTCACTTGATAAGACCCTTATTCATCGTCTAGAATCGTTTAAAGCCCTTTGAACAGTTTGCAATTTGCACTGAAACTGTCTTTTGGACCTTGAACCGTTTGGTGCCCAGTAAAGTGCATTATATGCAGAAAAATCCTGGAATGTTTTCATCAAAAACCTTAATTTCTTTTCGACTGAAGAAAGAATGACATGGGGGTGAGTAAATTATCAGCAAAATTTCTTTTTTTAAAAGTTAACTACTCCTTAAACATGTAGTTAAAGCCAATTGTTGAATAGCATTTTTGCCAAGTTAAATTTATAATTTTTTATAAAAATTCTAATTTTAACTGTTATCAATTACTATTTATAACAATTATAAATAATTTAATCAATCTTTTAAAATCTCAAATAGAATAATTAAATTTACAACAAATTTCTAGTTAAATTGCAAATCAAATATGGTGTGGCACAATAAAACTTGTATACTGAATAAATTAAAATTGCTGAAAAAACTATTGTATGCTATTCTGAGAAATAATATATAATAAGCTTGATACATTGATATAATGTATTATACGCATTTATTAAAAGCTGGTGAAGTGACTATCAGAGCAGCTCGTGAAATTAAGTTCACTTCCTCATATATCACACTGAAACACGCAGACTTGCATGCAGATTTAGTGACGTGCACCTGATCACATCGATTTATTACCCAGCCCTGTTTGGCTATAGAATTGCATTTCTTATTCCATAAAAGAAGTAAATAATTCTTCTATGAAAACAGAATCATAAATTGAAAGCGAATTTGTTAAATTGTTTCGTTTCCAATCGCTGCACAAATGATGTCCTGTACCTGGTTGGATGGAGGGATTGGTGTTGATGCTGGCGCCTGTCTGTGCCGTGCCGCCGCCGGTGGTGGCCGTTACCAGCCGCACGTAATGAAAGCGACTGCCCGGCACCTGGATCTGCTGAACGTTAGGAGGTGTGGAGAGGGGGATAATGGTCTTGAACTGGGATGTTCCCATCCCTCCCACTGTAACCGTCTGCATCGGCTTTGCAGCCTGTACACGAAAACAGATAAAAACATAGTTTTGTATTGTTGTACACTAAATTACAATGTCACACAGGCTTTGTTAAACTCTATATTTGACAGGACAGCAAACTGGTTTGGTTTTTTTAAAACTCTATATGGGCGTACCCGTGCGGTGGACTGGCTGGTTCCTGCTTTAGCTGGACTAGTGGTGGCAGACTGTTGAACCGTGAGGATTTGCTGGCCTAGAGCCACATTGAGCGGCAGGGTCACAGACTTCTGGGGTGAGTTTGGAGACTGACTGGCCACCGAAACCACAGTCAACTACAGACAGAGGAGAAACACGAGGAAGAGGGTGTCATCAGAAACCAGAGTGTGGTCATCAGAAAAAGAATCTGGGACCACAAAGAGGGGTAAATGTAGCTGCGATGCAAGTTTTTACATTTGAAAGATTCAAGACCTTGCTGGGAGACTTGAGAGGCGAGATGGCGACTTTGCTGTTACCAGATGTATTCTGTGTCACAGTGCTGATGGCCTCGCCAATGGAGATGGTGCGTGGAGGTGTCACTGGGGTACTCTGGGTAAGAACTCGCCCTGTTGGCAATTTAGATTTGACAATCGAGCAGATAAAACGACTGCACTTTTGCTCATGTTATAAACACAGAGAGGAGATTACCAGTCACTACAGGAGACACTGAAGCTGGGCTGGTCAGTGCTTTACTGTTCAGGGCCTTTGTAATGATGAGCTTTGTTATCATTGGTCCAGCCGTAGACACTGGTGGTTTCTTTGTGATCTGTGAGGAGAAACATGACACTTGGTGATTATTTAAGTAGCTTTTTTGATAGACCGAGACACTGAACAGGAAACAAGACTTCCAAACTATTTTTTTCTTTCCTTTCCTGGAAGTCAATGGCTTCAGTTAACTGTATGGTTACCGACTTTCATCCAAATATCTGCTTTTGTGTTCAACAGAACAAAGACTCATACAGGTTTGGAACTCTTCAGGGTGAGGAAATCATGACAGAATTGTTATTTTTTGGTCAACTATCTCTTTAACAATTAGTAACAGTTAATCTAGCTTTACTTATTATTAAGGATATTTAATATGTATTTAACTGAATTGAGTATTCTTTTTTTTAAATAAATAATAGCAACAACACTGATTTAAATACAGCATTAAAATAGCATATTTCATGTACTATAAATTAATATAGTACTATATACAATACTTACTACTTGTACAATATACTATAAAATTACTAAAAATATTATATAAAGAATAGCCCATTTTAAAAAAAAGCATGTGCTTACAGAAAAAATGTTTTTAAAAATATGACTAACATAAATATTAAATATAATAATTAAGTGATTAAGTGAAATAATAATTAATGATTAAAATCACTATTAAAAAGGCATTTTCCTTATAGAATTTAACAAATATGACTATTATTTGTAAAAAATTATAAATTAAATTATTATACTAAAGATCATAGTAGCTCATTTTAGTAGCTCATTCAACGTGTAGGTTTTAAAAATAAATTAAATATTATCATAAATGTTTTATTATTAATATTATTAAATAATAATAGCACAAATTCAATTATTTTTACATGAGCTATTATTGTTATTATAGTAATTATTAAAAGGCAACAATTGAGTAATAATATACGACTAGTATATTATATTATAAATAACAATAATCAATTTAAAATACATAAAAACTACATTCATAAGCAAAATATGTTTTACAACTTTCTGTTTTACAGATTTTTCTATTTTTTCAATGCTTGAAGTGTAAAATAAAGTGTTAACAGAGTGTTATACAGTGTCCATATGGTTACTGTAGTAACTATAAATTATGCATAATCACCCTAACCCTAAAACCCACCCTAATTAAGTCAGTAAATGTATAATTACACTAACACGGACAAGTGTAACCAACATTTTCACTATCAACCAGTCAGCTGCAGCAGCTACAGTTTATATATTAGCCAACACCTCGTTGTTACATGTAATATAGATGTATAAATCCCACAAAAAACAATAAAGAAACTAATGCCAAGATAAAGAACCTTGAAATTAAAGTTCTCTTTAGGGTCTCAATATAAACTGGTAATTTCACACCCACCCAACACAGCGTGGCCTGCCACTTCAGTTATGTAGCATCTGCCTCCTCAGTGTAACACGGAGAGGTTGATAAACACCCACCTGAAGGGTCTTCAGCTGCTGGGCCTGCAGTGTGGTGGAGGAGCCCATCAGCTGACTGGCTGAGCTCACAGCGATCACAGGCTTCCCTACGGCCGTCACCATCTTGATCTGCGTCGGCTGGGCCTTGCCATCCCCTGTGCCCTGGGTAGTGGCGGGCTTGTTCCAAGTGTGAGGCAGAGCCAACATAATAGGCTGCCCTGTTTTACTGAGACCAGCAACCAGGAGTTTCTGCCCCTCTTGCTTGAGCACAGCAGCGCCTGGAGGCTTGCCATCCGCAGCGGGGGAGCTGGCCACTTTATTGATGATGAGCTGGTGGTTGGCTGGGACAGTAACGCTGGAGATTTTGGGGAGGCTTTGAGTCAATGCAGGACTGGTGGTTTTGGCAGAGGTTGTGGTGGCGACCGCCATGAGTCCGGACGAGGCGAGGAGGAGTTGAGTTCCCGTGCTGGTGCTACACTGAGCATTAGTGGAGGTGGAGGTCATCTGCACAGACGTGGTGGCTGGACACAGGCTGACGATTTCAGGCACCTCTGTTTCCATAGGAACCTGCGCTGGCTCTGGTTCAGATTTAGGAGGAGGAGGAGCGAGGTGCTCGGCAGGAAGGTCCTCTTCCATTGCGATAGCTTCCGTGTCCATGATTTCGTCAGGCAGGAGGCTGTTGAGCTCAGGTGACACCACATCCATTGTGCACAAAGATACTCAAAACACACTAGAAAAGAAAAAAAAAATTATTAAATGTATAAAAAGACCAGAAACATTCACAAGAAAGATGAGAATACATCACTGATAAAGTATTAAGTGTAGAGGAAGCAAAGGGCACCAGACTGCGATCAAATGCACACATTTTGAAACCTTTTACCACCTTTTTTTCCTGCAGGTACGATTATTTAGTTGGAGATCGCACTGGTGTAGGGCTGTGAAACGATGATTCACAACCAAAATACATAATATATGCGTGTGTACCAATTATTTTGTATAGGGCTGCACGATTTGGGGAAATTTCATATTGCGAGTATTGAGGTCAATATTGCGATTGCGACATACAATATAATAAACAAATGGTTTCATGAATCAACTTGAGTAAAAAATAAATAAATTAAAAAAAACGCACACACAGTGAAAAAAAAATAATCAAAAAAATGTGCGTGAATTTATATATACGAAATATTTATACAGTACACACACCACGTATAATGCAAACTTTTAAATTGGATGCGATTAATCGTTTCACAGCTCTACGGGTCCACCAGCACGTTGCGAAACTGATAAGAGCAATTGGTGGCGACAAGTGACTTAAAAGGATCCATCATGAATCATCCATTCAAGAGATTTGTTAAAAATCACTGATTCATCCAGTATCAATGTATTGGATGAATATCAGTGTATTCATCCAGTATCAGTATTTACATAAAAAATTTAATTAATCAATATCAAACGAAGAGTGCCATTTCAGTTATCCTCCAAAAATCAGCATGATTAAATGTGATATTAAGTTACAACAGTTTAATAAACAATTATTTAATAACAACTACAAAATGTTGCAGAAAAATGTATGAATGAATAACAGCCTTTTAAGAACTTTTGCGCCAAAAGTGTTCTTTCTTGTCATTATTGAACCTTTTTTTAGCATAAAATGTCCTTTGGAGTTGAGTAAAGAACCCTATGCTACATATATAGAACCCTTTTTCTAAGAGTGCAGGTTGTCATTGTCTATTGTCTTTCAATTCTGAGGGGAAAAACGATCAGCAGTTGAAATTATTTCAGAGAATTACATTAGAACTACATGTTTAGGTAGAAATGAGTGTGTTTTTTATAAACATGTCAAAGGTAACATTCACAAAACAGTTTTATAAAAAGATAAACAAAATTTCAACCCTTTTTAACCATTGTTTAAGAAAAGGGATGAGTCAATGTTAACAAATATTCTAGACACATTATTATCTATAATGTTATGACTTTTATTATGCACATTAACTTCCCTTTCCTATAAAACTGGATTCACCTTTAAACGTTTAATAATTATTGATTTTTAAAGCACTAAACTGAGAGGTTGACATCCAAAACATTTCTTTATCCAGAGGACAAAGGTTTTTAAAGGGTTGGAGTCAAAATCAAATAGATAATAATAATCAATCACCAAGCAGAGATTCTGTTGAATGAAGAGTTTGTGCAACACACACACATAACGGTTGTTCATTGACCTTTTCATCTGTCTTGATACTGAAGCAAGCATTGTTTGAAGGAAATGTATCATGCCATCATAGATTAGAGACGATTTTATATTTAAAAATCATCTGAAAAATCACTGAAAGTAATATAGATTTAATAATAAAATCTTCCCGACTAAAGTTGCCCCAGTGAATTCCAGCCCTGCGTCTATGTATTAATAAACATAACCGCTTCAGCCTTATATTTATGTCTAGACAGCATTTATGAAATCTGAAAGTACCGTACTGAGAACAACAATGACCAACTTTGTTCATTTACATATAGCGAATTTTTACATGGCATTACATTACAATATTCTCGCATAAAATCTGCAGCACTTTGCAGGTCTAATCGCATCAAGCACATCAGCACAAATAGTTACAGGTAGTCACAAATATTATGCACAGGTCCGCTGGCGGGCCATTCAAATCCCACTGTTTACTAAACGCCGCACACGAGACGACGCGACCGCTCCCATTCCAATCCCCTATACAGTCGCCGCCGCTGGCGTTCATCGCGTCGCTCGCAGTGTAGGCGAGCGGTTTATACGGACAGCTGCTATGTGGCTAACTAGCACCAGAGCTAACCTGCAGTTACATGTTAAACACAGCAGTCACTCAAAGCGAGCATTAACCAGCAATAAAACGGAAAATCTGCTAATAAAGACAGCAGTTATGCGCTTCAGATACTGTGTACACAATAAAACACTCATGTGCACGCGTTTAATCGCTAAACGCAACATACAGCAGTTTTAAAAAGTGGGGAACAACAGCAGGCCTCTTTTACATGCCTGACAATAACAATCCGCGTTAATTCTTTACCTTAACAGTGACTTCAATGAGAGACAGTCAGTTTCGCGTCAGCTGGAGTTTGTTGATATTCGACGCGCCTGCTTTCCTGTCTATTCCGTTGTCATGGAAATATCGATATTTACAAGACACGGATGACAGCACGAAAGTTACTGTAGACTGGGGTGTTTTCCTCTCGGTTTGAGTCCTGATAGAGAGAGTTTAACACGAGCTGAGGGTCTATTTCAGGCCGGGCTGGATTTCGAAAGATCCGCCATTTTCATCTCGTCATCAGTTCGGAAACGAGAAACAGGAGAAGAAGAAAACAACAACTTAATTTATTGTTTTGTTATAGTTAGAGCACAAACGTGGGCGAAGTGTAGACAAATGACGTTCGCAATTATTGATTTTGACAGTTAAAACTATTAATCTGTCGTCATTCGATTTGAACTTGATCTTCACTGGAACAATAAAAAGTGTTTGTCAGAATGACAGCCGCACCAGTAACTATCATTGCACGTCTTTCATCCAGTGAACATGAACGGAGACTGAAGCTGTCATTCACCCGGACTAAGAAAACATAACCAAACACACGAGTAAAACACCCAAAACCTTTTCATTCCAAAACTTGTGCAGTTAGTGTTATGATTTTGATTAAAAGGCATTAGTACAAAAAAAGTATGTGAAATAAAAACGTAATAGTTCGTCAGACAAACAAAAGCCACTTTACTAACTTACTCTATAAGTCTTAATGACAAATATATTTATATAAAACAGAGAGCTTAGAAAACTGTGAAGTATAATAAATTTGAATAAACTTTTATAACAATAATATAGTTCACTCTGCCACTATGGCAGATATGCCACTACTATTTAGTATTATTAGCACTAATATATATATATATATATATATATATATATATATATATATATACACACATACACACACATTTATATATAGTGCTAATACTACAGTGAACCATCTAAATGTATGACAGACAGGCGCATCGGGTTGGCTGTCACTCACTGTCAGGTATAGTAGCCTCAACTGCTAACGTTACCAGTTAGCCACTATCAACTCCTGCAACGCTTCGACGCGTGCGGTAACCTTTGGCTATATTTTATTGATGACTCAGAAGCCCAGAAGGGATTAACCAGCGATCGTTTTCGACCCCAACTGTGTGTGTGTGTGACGCGGACGGGCATCAGCTGACACTGCACTGTTAGCAGCGCGGCTAACTCCACTAGCCGCGATCATATTCTCGCGCCCCTTGCGAACCCCAGCCGAGCTCAAAGCGCTTCTTACACTTGCTCGAGGTGATGAGTGTCGCGACGCTCTTCTGAAATCCGCCGCGCGTTCCGCTCGATCACGCGCTGCTACATCCAACGCGATGCTGCATCGTGTCGATCATCCGCTCTCAGACGAAGACGATTGTTTAAAATACCGCGCCGAGCGCCATTTCACCTCTAACATCCCATAATCAAGCCCCGCCTTCAGAGGAAACAACAAATGACGTCACGCCACAACTTCCGCCCGTGCTGAGCGCACACAGCTGAATGGACTGGTTTTAGTTTTTAATGTTATTTATTTATATTTATGTATTGTATGTTTCATTTGTATTAATTAAACTTTTTAAAGAAATTAATTTGTTTAATCTCTTTAATTAATCTCTGTTTACTGTATCTTATTTGAAAATGTACTTATGTATCCATTTGTGATCTTTGGGCAATTATAATAAAATAAATAAATAAAAAGTTGAATGGATTGTGGTCAAAAATTGGTATGTATACATGTTTATTTTAATTCTGAATAAAAATCAGGGTTAATGTTCGAGTACATTATACAAAAAGTCAAGTTAACGTGCCATATCAAGATATGATGTAGTTTTATGATGTGGCTTATTCATAAAGTAATAAATAGGATAAACGTGTGTAACGACAAAGGGTTCAATAGAAATATTGATACAGCCTTTTGTATCATATTTTAAAACCAATGAAATATTATTAGAAAATGTTTACCATGTATATATATATATATATATATATATATATATATATATATATATATGTATGTATACATTTTTGATACATTTTACCATATATATTTATTTACATATTTTACCATATATATTATTTAAAATAATTGTAATTTAAATAATTTAAAATATATTTGATCATATTTTTAAATATTGATGTAGCCATTTCTATCAGATTTCAAAAACAATACCAATGACAAATTATAACATTTTTATAAAATATTATTATATCATATTTGTGTAAATAAAAAATATAGTATATGTTGTTGCCATAACATTTAGACAGTTTAAACTATTCTATTCTATTCTATTCTATTCTATTCTATTGCGTCTGCTGAAGTTTCCCTTCTCTGCAGACTTGCACTTTGGCACTGACTGTAAAAGTTGGACTCAGACAGAATATTACAGAATAGAAGTCTCGTTCTCAGGAGAGTGATGATCCGGTGTCTGCAAATGAGAATAGTCTGGCACTAAAGAGCAGTCAAAACTTGAAGAGATTTTTTTTTTTAATTTATTGCAAGAAGAATTACGAAATGTAATAGTTTCATCACTGTACGATAATAAAGTTTTAGATTTAATATTTTAGAATTAGGTTTAAGTATTAATGTATTAAAGCATTACTGGTAAATCTTTTGGGGTACCTTAGGTTGGCTGAAAGTCTGTCTGGTAAAGGTAGAGGTTGAAAGAAAAACGTATTTATATATTTTATTTTATTTATGTATTAAAAGAGTCAAAAGTAAAAAACACCCTGATGTCCTCTGGTGGTCCATATGTGATGTGCAGTTTCCCTCAGGCCGGTATTGAGTGGCGCCCTCTGGTGGTCCGCCGCAAGTGTTGTGGTTGCGAGATTGACGAGCAAAATGGCGTCCGGCGTGAGGCAGGAGCTCGCGCAGCTGATGAACTCTAGTGGGTCTCACAAAGATCTAGCTGGGAAGTATGTATTTTCAAGTAATTTGCCAGTATTGGTTCTTACTTTATGTCTATTGCATGAATGTTTTATTGTGTAGTTGAAGCTCTTATGAACGATGTGATGCTGCAGATGCGATGACAGCTGGCTAGCATTAGCTAGCGTGAGGATATGCATTAACGTTACAGATGATAGCATACCTGTCAACATGCCTACATGTGTTTGATATCAATAGAAATACGTTATAAGTTGGTAATGGTTAGTCGCTGTTAGAATAATTTATAAAATAGTCGTATGGTAATTGTATTTAATGGTACATTGATTGTGCAAGTGCTGGCCGCTGGAGTAATGGCAATAAGTTAACTTGAAAAGCACTTTACTAAATTAAAGATCTCATGAAATCAAAATCAGAGGCTTTTAATCAACGTCTTATAGGTTTGAGGTAATTTATATCTTTGTCTGTGCACTTAAAGTTGGATGAATGAATATTTCATGAAACAAAGGAAAGGCAAATTTTAAGCTCTTTTTTTCTGGTAATAAGTGTCCAACAATATTGATAAGACCATTTTGCAAGATGTAAACAACACTGGTCCAGAAACACTTCGTGTTTCAGTTTGTAACTGTTTTCTTTATTTCACATGTAAAGAAAACATCTTAGATGTTTGTTTAACTTTTTGATTCAGTTTTATATGTTCTGTTGGTTGTATTTTATCCCAGCTTTTATGTAGTGTTAAAAAAACTGAAACAGGAAGTGCTTCTGGACCAGCGTTGTTTACATCTTGCAAAATGGTCTGCCCCGCCCCCAATACACCTTTCTCTAGCGAAATAGCAAGCAATAAATCGGCAATCAATTATTTTATTTTGTTATCCAACCAAAAATTTTACAAGTAAAATATGGTTGTTCTTTTACAAAAATTCAAGTAATTTTCTTAGACTGATGAATGTGTTTCTTCTGACAGATACCGTCAAATATTAGAGAAGGCTCTTCAGTTTACTGATGCAGAACAACTTGAGTCACTGAAAGCATTTGTGGAAGCGAGTAAGTACACTAGTCTGATAATTTGAATAGATTCCGCTTAAATGGTTTTGTATGGAATTGCTCTGTTTACATTGTTTAAACCGATGAGTGCCTCTATTTCACACACTTGCGCAGTGGTCAATGAGAACGTCAGCCTGGTCATATCCAGACAGCTGTTGACAGACTTCTGCTCACACCTCCCAAACCTGCAGGAAGGCACGGCGAAGGCTGTGTGTCACTTCACTCTGGAGAAGATTCAGCCCAGAGTCATCTCATTTGAAGAACAGGTATGTGTCCTGAAAGATACTCTCATCTCAGTGCTGCCACCTGGATCGTGTCTGAGCAAATCTCATGCTCTTGCAGGTGGCCTCCATCAGACAGCATCTAGCCACAATCTATGAGAAAGAGGAGGACTGGAGGAACGCCGCTCAGGTTCTCGTGGGGATCCCGCTGGAGACGGGTCAAAAGTAAGCTCACTTTTCTCTTGGAACAAACTCAAGCTCCTTCATTTCATTTGCAAGTCACCCAAAATGCTAATGGTGTATTTATGTTCTTATTATCTGTTTTTTTATGATTCTATAGACAGTACAATGTGGACTACAAATTGGACACTTACCTGAAAATCGCTCGCCTGTATTTAGAGGACGACGACCCGGTTCAGGCAGAGGCCTACATCAATCGTGCATCTTTACTTCAGAACGAATCCACCAATGAACAGCTGCAGATTCACTACAAGGTGCGCCATCAATCGAACAATATGTTGTCCTTTTATAACATGCTAACTATGCAAGGGCTTTTATTTCCCTCTAATGCTTACTAGTAAATTTAAAGACAGTTGTCATATTTTTAAAATATTTCAACCACATACAGCAAATATGTATGTGTGTGTATGTTTACATAATATCTATGAAAACATTTTTAAATTAAAATTAAAGCTAAGTACATTAAAAATAAATTAAAGTATAAATTCATTATTATGCTAAAACGTATGTAGTTATATTTTTGGCTATAATGGTTGTTTGGTTGAGACAATTTTTATTACATTGGTGCAAATACGAAATTCTGTTAAAGGGATACTCCATTTTTTTTTTGGAAATAGGCTAATTTTAGCACTCCCCCAGAGTTAAACAGTTGTGTTTTACCGTTTTCGAATCCATTCAGCAGATTTTCTGATATTTAGAAGAATATCAGTAACCAGACAGTTTCTGGTCTCATTGACTCCCATAGTATATTTTTTTCCTACTATGGAAGTCAATGAGACCAGAAACTGTCTGGTTACTGAAATTCTTCTAAATATCAGAAAATCGTCTGAATGGATTCGAAAACGGTAAAACTCGACTGTTTAACTCTGGGGGAGTTGTAAAATGAGCCTATTTCCAAAAAAAGTGTAGTATCCCTTTAATTACTAGCTTGACAGTGTGTGATTCTGTAATATCTGGCTGCTTTATGATTATTGTGAAACTGTAATATGTTCCATCATGTTTTGCAGGTATGCTATGCCAGGGTTTTGGATTATCGGAGGAAGTTCATTGAGGCAGCTCAGCGTTACAACGAGCTTTCTTACAAATCCATCGTCCATGAGACAGAGCGCCTGGAGGCCTTGAAACATGCACTTCACTGCACTATTTTGGCCTCTGCAGGTACTGTTAATGTGTTACACCACTAATGCTACGCTACTGGAACTGCGACTAGCCATTTTAGCTCGCATTATCTAATCAGTTATTATGTGTCCATAAGGTCAGCAGCGCTCTCGTATGTTGGCTACTCTCTTCAAGGACGAGCGCTGTCAGCAACTTTCCGCCTACGGCATCCTGGAAAAAATGTACCTGGATCGA